GGTGAAAGCAGTGAAGACACTGAGTGGTACAGATCAGTGGTTACAGAACAGCCATGGCGATGTAAGTGCACGGCACAGGAAATCTGGTCCATAGTGTTGTAATAACTATATATAGTGCCAGGTGGGTATTGAAAATATCAATAGGGACCCTTTGTAAAATATGTGATCATCTAACCACTATGCTGTACACTTGAAACTAATACAAAATAATATTAAATGTAAAATGTAATTGAAAACAAAGAACAGCAGAGCGTTCCATAAATATTGTAAAGATTTATTGGAAGTTATTATCTACATTACACCAAGGGTGTCCCTCTCACTATCCTAAAATATATGGATTAATAATTAAATAAGAAAAAAATTTCACCCCTGAGAGTTAAGATGTGTTTCTGTGAAGTAGGAAGCAAATTCTAAGAACTAGCCAACAGATGTGCCTGGCAACTGAGGGTAATGTTAGGCGTCTCGGATTAGTTATCAGGAGAATGAAAGTTTGCCTTAGACATGTTAGGAGCTCTCAAGTCCAGCCAAAGACCCTGCTGAGGTAGGTAGTTCTCCTTCAAACAAAAGAAAAATTAGGAAGTTTGTCTCTGAAATGATGGCTGATAGTAACATATTTTCAAGTCATTCATTGCTGAACTAAAATCATTGGTGGATCGATAAAGGAATCAATGGCTACTGAAGCTGATAAATAGTGAGTTACTTAAAGACTCAAAAATGCTTAAAATGAGCAAGAAAGAAAAACATAGTTATCGAACAATCCGAGTGACTCAAATTCAAGAGGCTGGCATCAGTACTGGTGGAGAAAAGGAAGGCAAAAAGTACATAAATTGACATGTATTGTTAAATTTTGTAATATTTTTGCTATTTCATTATTTTTACAAAAAGGTAATTTGCCCAAGGCATAGCTAACTGTGAAGTATTATTGTTACATTCACCAATTCTGAATTCATAAAATGATTGGGTCTGCAGTTTTCTCCCTTTTCCATACTTTTAAAAAGTCTAACCATTAAGCTTGGAGCTTCTCAAAGGTCATCATCAGTTATAAGTACATCTTTCCAAGTTATGGGTAGATTTACAGAAGCTACACAGCTCACTGGGTTTGAAAGAACTAAGCATCAATGACGTTGAATTGCCCTGGTCAGCAGTAGAGAGAAGGTATCTCAGGGCAGTATGCAAAGACTGAGTTCATTTGTTATGGTAGATGCCAACCCCAGTGCTGAATGCCAGAATGGAGTCGGGAAGTCTCAGACCCTTCTCACTGTTACAGACTAGGAAATCTAAGCCTTATTCTACAATAGTTTTGGCTACTAATCTTTTCTACATGTTCTTCAGATATTCAATTGAATCCATAGGTCTTAAATTTTGCATGAGCTTTTTTTCTTTATAGAAATTATTTACTATTATATAAGAAGGTCAAATGATCAGTCTTTTTGTAAAATATTCCACAAGAACTGCAAACAAAAATGTGTTCTGTCACCTAAAAGTATTCTTTATAGTATACAATCATTGGTCTTCTACCCAGGAGTACTTTTTGCAAGTTTTCTGGTTTACTTAGTGTAAACCTTACAAAGAGGGAGAAAATGTTGGGGTAATTTACCTCTCAATGGGTCTTTTGCACCAATATAGCACACAGTATAATTTTAAAAGACAGTTGCAAGATTTCAACCAATTGATGGACTGTGCTGATACATTTGCTCCCTCAAAAGAGACATAAAATGGCTGAATAAAAATATAACAAGAATAGAGGTCAGGTTCAAGAAAAAGAAATATCCAGATGGCAGAAGAAAGCAAGGAAACAAAGTGATTGCTAATTTAAGCCAGTAAATGTGGGGGGGTGGCTTAGCAAAGGCCGATTGATAAACCCTATTGCTAAAATCCTATTTGTGTATAGGATTAAGTAGTCACATCTTCAAGTAAAATATGGGTTATCTCTTTTAGAAATAACTCTGAGAGAGTTATCCTCTAAGAACAAGGAAGTTGAACCAAAACACACTAGTCAGATGAAACTAAGGTAAACTTAATGGATATTGACCAGGCAAATAATGATGACAACGACCAATTTGTGTATGGGGAGATGTTAAACATAATGTGGGAACTCAAGTATCAAAGAGCAATTATATGGGAGAATAAAGAGGCACGATCTGAGCTATGTTCCCTAGAAATCTTCAAGTTCAGGATGAGGACAGAAATACTGATGAACTATAAAAGTTCACTGCCCAGTATGTTAGCCACGAGTCCCAAACAGGTATTTAAATTTAAGTTCATTAGAAAACAACAATGTTTAACATTCAGTTCCTTCACCTCTGACATATAAACAGCTTGGCAGTCATCCTTCCCTTCCTAACAACAAGAAAAAGCTAAGGACACTGAAAATCAGTGATGTTCCTTAGACCCCTCAGAGACTGAGATTTCAGGGTAAGGCACAGCCCAGGAACCTGGACTCATGAGAGTCCAAAGGTGTTGAGAGACCTACTGGTTTTGTAACTCAAACATGGCCAGCTTTTGTGCAGGTCCTCACTCAATACGGATTTCTTTCTCGTAGTCTTATATACAGGAGCTAGTAATATTCCCAGATGTGGAACAAGTGTTCCCCCAAATCAAAATAAACTAACCAAAGGCTGAGCTTCTTGTTTGGTCCTTGGGGTGGGTAGCAACAGAAGTTTGTATCTGGTTGCTTGTAGAATATCCCAGGAGGCTTCTGCCCAAGTCATTCCTAAGAATTTTACTACTAGGGCAGGTCTTAAGAGCTTTGCTGGATTTATTAACCAGCTTCAGTTGGTTATGTGAGCCACCATTGCATTCAAGTCAGTCCTAGCCTGCTCTTCAGTTTCCAATGTTACCATAATGTCAGCAATATGGTGTATTATTGTCACACCAGAGACCCACATAGGATCCAGATCCCTTCTGACCAAATTATGACAGTTTGCTGTCACAGCACAGCCAACACAAATTGGGATCTTTCCTAATTAAAAGTGAACTACAGTTGGCTCCTTCCCAAGATGGAGTAGACCGTGTTTGAAAAAACAATAACTGAATATCAGTCTACTTCAGCCTGTGGGGTTTTTTGGTGGCAGTGGGGCAGGGCAGGGTATGGTTAAAGCCACGTGTAGGACTGCTGAGGCCATGGGTGGTCCAACTTTATTTAAGACTAACAGTCTATTGTTAGTCTGCATGAGCTATAAGCCTTTTGCTTCAGCCACAAATGGTTGGTCACTGTACAGAGAATTCATTGGTACCAGCACTCAGCACGTCAGCTTTTGATGTGTCATTAAAGTGGTAATCTTTTTGCCTGCTGGCATAGTAAGTCCTCAATATAGTAAGGGGTCAATAGGTTCTGGGACTTTAAGTGAAATGACTATGATGACACCTATTTTACCATAGGCTAATTGATGTAAACAAGAGTTGAGTTCCTACAACATTTGATCAACTTTATAACAAAAACGATATTGCACAGAACTATGTTAATTGAGGACCTGCTATATTCTATGTTGTTTAAAATTAACTACCTCCATGCATTTGGGAAGTTCTGTTGGTTCCCATTTAGCAGGACAAATTAAGACTGGCCCAAAGGAAGATGTCATGCCTCCTGCTTACACTATTAGGTAGGGGAAGCAATCTCTAGTTGGACATAATATCCATCCCAAATATACATTCAGGTAAAGGAGAGCCAACAACCTCATATAAAGTGTGTTAAAAAATCCCAATTTTCATCTAAACCATCATCTTAATCTCATCAACCTTTGCGTCTCTGTGTCCTCCCAATCTGAACCAAGCTGCCACCAAGACTTCGCCAGCAGCATTCAAATCACAGTGCACTGGGCTCCTGAGTCAAGCAGACCCAGCAAATCCTCACCACCCCCCTCCCCGACACTGAACTGGCCACTTTATCTGCACATGGCCTTGGTTTATTATATAATAAAGGATATGATAAAGGATTCAGAGGAGTAATCAGGTGAAGGGATACATAGAGTGTGGTTCAGAGGGTCCCAAACACCAGAGCTTTTGTCCCCACGGAGTTAGGGGCCACCGCCCTCCCAGCTGGTGAATCTGTCCACCAGCCCAGAAGTTCTCTCAACCCAGGGCCCTGGGATTTTTATGGAGGCTGCATCAGGTAGGCGTGATGGGCTATTAACTCAACTTTAAAACCATCTCCCATCTCCAGAGAATGGAAGGTCAGGGTAAAAGTACCAAGTTTGTAATCGTGGCTTGGTTCTCTGATGACAAGCCCTGGTTCAAGAGCCCACCATAGTTCCCTCATTAGAACAAAAGACATCCCTATCACCCAGGAAATTCCAAGAGATTTGGGAGCTCTGTGGTCAGATGCTTCCATTGCTCGTAAAATTACAAGGATTTTAGGAGCTCTGTGTAAGGAACTGGGGATAGATAGATAATTCTTGTATATTCTTTTTCATGAAGTTCTTTCACATAAGTGGCCACAGAGAACCAAAGCCAAGAGCAGCTTATGTGGAAAAGTCACCAGAACCATTAATTGGTAGAAACAAATACTCAAATGCAATTTTGATAAATTGCTGGAGGCTCAGTGTGGACACTCAGTATTAAAGGGCCAGGAGCAGGCAGGTGTAATTGGAGGAGGGCAAAGACTACAGGCTTGGAAAGTTACACCAGTTGACAGAGATTTGGTACCAAAAGAGGGGACAAGGGAAGAAATATTCTGACTTCTCTCTTCTACCCTTACATTTCTTGTTGCTACTTCCTATTGGACTGGGCAGTCCCAACTGGAAGCCAGCCATCAAAGCAGAAGTTGGCGATGCAGTTCCCAGTGGTCAGCCTTGTATAGAGGGCTATTAAGGAAAATAGAGGACAAAGCTAGCACCGTATCTGTTGTCTATAGTAGAGTTAGAGGTGGCGTAACTCTTCCTTCTTTTTGTTTTTAAACTCCTTTCTTTTGTTTTATTCTGACCTCTTTTTGTATCCACTCATCTGCTCTTAGGACATAATCCTAATAAAAACCCAAGTTAATAGTTTCAAAAACAACCATATTATTATAGTTTTAGCATACTATGCCCAGTTTAATATTTTAAAACATTCATACTATATCTGGCATTGGTTATCCAGTACTTTGTAAACTTATTTCTATAACAGTTGATAAGATTTATAATTTATAAAGAATCCAAGCAAAAATTTCATTATATTGTCATGTGAAATGGTTATATACACTGTGGTCTTATACATTTGAACAAAACAGGTGAATTTATTGATTGAGTTTAGAAAAAATTTAAATACATTCAACTCTCACTATAATATCAATTTACTTTTATAGGATACTTAAGGCTCCTAAATAAACAATAAACTAAAGCTCATTCATCATAATTTTAGGAATATAATGTTCCAGACATAATATGATACATGTAGAAATATACAGATGAAATATTTAATTATATTAAAAGCTTATAAAATAGATAAGAAAAAGATTAAAGCACAAAAATGAAAAAAATACAATGAATACAAAATAAAATGCAAACATATGAAGCTCAATCCCACTATAATTTAAAAAGTAAACTAAAACAATTTCAATGTTATATTAGCAAATATGTATATATCCCTAATTAGGAAATTATATGCACTATTATGATTCCAACATATAAAGAATGCACTAAAGAAAAGAGAAAATCATTGGGTTTTTTTGGTATGAAGAAATTGTAGTGATTCTCTTATCCAACTTTCTATGTTTTTCCCTATTATACAAATTTTCTTCAGTGGGCATAACAATTTCTTTAAGTTATATAACATATCACCAGAAAAAGCAGCAGAAATACTGCTTCATTTTCAAAATTTTTTCTAGTGATATTCAAAATGAATATGCTATTGTTAAAGGAAAAAAATAGGTAAAGCTGACACAAATTTTTCTTAAAAATTGAGTAATACAAAAGATATGTATGTGTGGATACACACATACGTGCATGTATTTATATAGGATGAAGTTATTTTTAAATAGCAGTAAATAAACAGAAAACTACTGATGAGGTAAGGAAGGAAATCAGCCCTCCCAAAATCATAAGAATTTAATATATTATTCAAAAAGTTTTTAAATCTGAATAAATGCTGCTGTGATTCTCATTATTTTTAAAGAGTATAGTTGAACAGCTTTTCCAATGCAGAGGCTTGTTCATTTAGGAGCTAAGGGTCTCTTGACTCTGTGAACTTCCAAACAAAGGTTTTTTTTTTCTGAAAAGGTTTCAGAGAAAGGCTCTTGGGTTATATTTGGGTATTAAAAACAAACTCAGAAACTTGGTATTATCACAATCTGGCGTGTAGCAATCACAGCACCTCTGGCTATTGACTACATCCCTCACATATTTCAACAAGAGTTGTAGTAAACATCATTATTTCAAAAGAGTCATGCTTCACAAAATTCCAAGTTTGTGGTTTTATTTCCTCACACCCAGTGCCTGGCTCTTCAGAGAACCTCATTCACACTTTTTGTGGCTTTTATCACAGATTTTCTACCATCCCTAAGTTTGAAAGGAAGAATAATTTTAAAATGTATTTGTTTATTAACCAAACATACAAAACACACCTAATATCAATGTTAACAACTTCTAAAATTATACAAATTGCAAATTTTTACATAAACATAAGATTATAGGGCATCAACAAGGAATGACCCGGCTTCAAGTTTTACAGGTTGTCTGAATGAGAGAGGAGTTTCCACCGCATGGTTGTGTCCACCTCTTCATCACAATCGCCCACACCCTGCTCCTCAAAAAGCTCTAAAATTGCCTGATGAAGAAGGAAACAAGGAGGGAAAAGAATGATCAAGTTGTCGATTGTCTTCCCAACAAACAGGAACAATGGCACAGAACCATCAATGTCGACTCACCTTTTCCAGTGTGCACTGAGACAGGCTGTATTCTTCCAGGTTAAAATTATGTTTCACTGGGGAAAAAAGAAACTGGTAGTAGAGGCTTAAAATTTATTTCCAATAATTCTATTACAGCCACACAAGATGAAAATACAAATTGTTCATATAAATGGAATATAGAGCTGAATAAACAAATGTTTGGTGAAAGAATGAAATAATGAAAACACAGAGAGAATATAAATACACGTTGAACTGATCTTGATATTAAAATTTTCTCACATTACTTTTGATAATATGTGTTTTATTACTTATTCTGTGTGTCTTGTGGAGATATATAAGTTCCTTGAGGAACTGCACAATTGACTGATATATTCTCACACAAGAGGAAGATTTCAATCCCCTTCTATTGTCTTTAAAAGGACATAATACTTTTGTGGAATTTTGCTTTGACCAGTTCATATGCTGTACAGGCTCTGTGCTGGGCTTCCCCACCAGCAAATCTGCATGAGAGGGGTCACCAGATTTATATATTCATGGGTTCACAGTGCACCATTTACACACTGAGAATCTTGTATGTGTGGGAGCCACCCTTAGGTGCCTGGGACAGAGCTGTAAATAAAACAGGTAAAAACAAAAACCCCTGCCTTTGTGTAGCTTGCATTCTAGTAAGACTATGGGCACTAAATAAATAAGCAATATACAATAAATATATTAATTTCTGCATATAATAAAGTAAATAATTGCTACTATGGAGAAAAAAGTAAATCGAGTAAAGGAAATGGGAAGTGGTGTTTACTGTTCTTACAGGAGGGTTAGGAAAGGCCTCAGTAATAATTGGGCAGAAACCTGAAAGAAGTGAAGAAGCAGTCTGGAGATTTAGGAAGTAGAACTCCAGAAAGAAGGATTAGCAATGCAGGACTATGCATGTCCGGTAGCATTTAGGAAGAACTAGGAACTCAGGGAGGAGCAAACCAGAGGTTAATGTTATGTCAGGCACTGTTGATGAGCTGGGCACTGTGCTAGGCGCTTTACCAATGAGCTCATTTAATCCTCTTGACAACCCTGCCAAGAGGGCGGCGTTGGTCTCTCTCATTTTAGAGATGGGCCATCCAGACATGAGGAGACTATGCGTCTTTGTTCTGTGTCTCCCAGTGAGTAAGCAGCAGAGCTGGGATGGGAGCCCAGAGATCCCGGTGCCAGAGACGGAGCTCTTTGCCACCATGCTGTGCTCAGAAATTACACCATGATGGTTTGTTTTCAGGAATGATCCAGCAAAAAGTGGAAAAAGGATGATGAAGAGAGAAAACAGACAATTTCAAGTGGCAGGAGGAGTTAGGCACCTCACAGGGGATGGCCTGAGCTGGAGACACAGACGGTTCATTCATCCCCAGCAGGAGACAGAACACGTAGCACAGACACAGGTGAGTTTTCTGTTGCCTTTATTTTACTGATGAAATATAAAGCGAGGGCATCAACTAAGGGTGAAAAGCATGAGGAATGAAGTAGTAACTCAGCACATTTGGTGTGAATGGATTTATACATGTAAGCAAAGCAGCCTGGAGTAAAGGGCTTTCTGAGGTTAACGCCAGGAGGTCACATTAAAACCAGTCAAGCACGACTGGATGTCTTCTGCAGCTTCCATCTGCACTGGAAATAAACCTCTTGCCAGAGACTCAGATTAACCAAAACTGGGGTAAATCTCACCATTATGTACTATTAGAATTCTTGAAATCATACCCTACAGGACCTATTTTTCAAAATGTATTACATAATTATCTCCTACTAAAATCTTATCTAAGTCTGAATTAATTTTTCAAAAGTTTTATTTTAAAAATGGTCATTCTTACCTGCTTCTAATTTGTGAAAGGCCTGAGACAGAGGGTGAACATTCACCATGGGCAGTTTATAGGTCAAGAAGGTGGGATACCTGGGAATGGGAAAATGTCATATTTCACCTTGAGTTTCAAGGAGTCATTTGAAATGACCATTCAAATAAATCTTGATATTTTCAGCAATTTCTTTTTTGAAATAAAAATAATAGAAGTTAATGAAGCTCACATATGAAATAGATAAAATAATTTATCAATAGATGTTTCTTAAAATGGGTTTGGTAGCTGGCCCTTGGAGACAGTTCTCCCAGAAAAGATCCAGCATAATTATACTCGTGCTTGGTTTACGCCACCCTTTTTCTTGTTGAACACAGGTATTCTGAACTAATTCAGAATTAGTTACTTCAAATTAGGCTGGAATTCGTCTCAACCGAATACTTTATCCTTATCACCAGAAAGCTAAGAAAAGAGAGATATGAGGTTGGGAAAGAGGGACATAAGAGGGGAGGAAGTCCAAAGGCTTTAACAACGTCCCTGACCTCTGAGGGGAGAAGAGCCAGGACTGATGTTGGGCATCACGGGTCCACATGCGACTTCCAGCTGCGAGCCCCATGCCCCATTCTCCGTTCTCTCCCAAACAGAAGTGTGCTGCTCTCTGGGAGCCTGACAGCTGCCCAGACTTCCAGGACCGGCCTTCTTCCTCCCAGGCGCTGCTCTTCCAGCCTTACCACTTTTGGTCTTTTCACCTACATCAAAACTGTTTCTCAGATTTGTGACACCAGAGGTCTGAGAATAGGATCGTTACGTGCCCTGGCATGTGCCTCAGAGAGTATATTCACTGTGTTAAGATGGAAACAGCAGTTATGTTCTGCTTCTTTGGAGTACTTACCTCTCCAAGGACTTTCAAATTCAGTTTCTGCTCCACCTCCTTGCCCCTTCATCAATAACACACACACACAAACACACCCCTTTCTAGTCTCCACTTTGAGGCATGAAAAGTCCATTAAAAGAATATTCCTTGATTCTCTCAGTTGCTGTTTGTTCTCTATGAAGGGGATTCACCCTAAATAGTCATGTCTTTTAAATTATAAGTGTTTACAGGGAGGTCTGAGAAGGGCACCATGGGCCTGACTGCAGTCCTGTGTGGGTTTGAGACCTCAGGAATTCCTTCTCCCCAGTTTTTTCAAGCCCCCTCCAGAGAAGGGGTTCAGCCTTGGATGGCAGAGGAGATGCAGAAAGCTGTGTTCCCAGGATTCCTTAGGGGGCACAGTTTCCTAGGTAACTCCCAAATCTCATAATCTGCAAGACTCAACAAGTCAGTTTTTGATTGAGGTCCCTGACTTTCACTATGAGGTCAAATCACCCTGAAGTTCCACTAATTAAAAAAAGAACCATCAAGTGAGTAAAGCCAACAGGTTTCTTCAAAATCAAAGCTTTTACCTTTCCTGCCGAGCCGCCTGTGGGAAAAGCTTCAGAATCTCAGTGTGGACCAAAGCCTCTTGAGAAATTTCCTTCACTTTTAGTTCTAGAATGTAATCCTTGCAAAGTTTGCTTTTCAGGTATTGGATGGAGCCAATGCATCTAAGGGCAAGAGGGAAAACATGCTGGAATAAATATTGCCCCTGAAACTTTTTTACATTAGCCTTAAATTTCAAAGGTAAGGGAAAGGGCATCACTGAGGGAGCTGAAAAGAACTCCAGCTTCTCATGGGGAATGTCCCCTTTTCACAGGCAATATCGTTTTGGGGGTCAAGTGAAAGCTATGGAAAGACACCCACCTCAACCTTCCGGACACCATGATGGCGATGCGGTCACAAATGGCCTCGGCCTCAGCCAGGTAATGAGTGGTCAGGAGGGCTCCCTTCTCTGTGTTCTTAATGGCTGCCTGGATCATCTGCCTGAAGTAAGCCAAAAAAAAAAAAAAAAATCAACACCATTAAAACAAAGAGCATAGGGAAAAAAAGAGATGAAGGGGAAATTTTACAGGCAAAATACAGTTTATGAATCATATTTAGATCCTATTTTTTTTTTAAAAAAATGGAAATGGGACTACTGACTAGGGTTTTTATAACATAAAGAAAAGTTCTAAATATTTTTAGGGGCGGTAATGGTATTCTGGTTAAGTTAAAAAAAAAACTCCATGTCTTCTGTAGAAACTAACTGAAATATTTATAAATAAAGGACATGCCACACCTAATGTTTGCTTCAAAATAATTGGCAAGTGGAGAAAGAAAGTAGGAGAAGCTATAGGTGAAGAAACATTGACCTTCTACGGGTAACTGTTGAAACTGGGTGATGAATAGAATGGGTTCATACATGATTCTCTTTGCATTTGCCTTGACGAAGCTCTTTTTAAAAGTTGAGCAGTCACAAATATGAAACAGGACTGGAAAATTTTATTAGTCTAAAATGAAAACCAGGAAAACTTAGATAGGAAACTAAAAAGAATTTAAAAATTAAGAAAAGTTACACAAATTTGGCAGATTAGATAAAAGGGGGAAAGAGAAATGGGGAAATTATATCACTAACTTAATAGTTTCTAAGGAAACAGTTATAGACATCTCAATAATTAAAAGACAAGATTAAAATATACTGCAAATTGCAATACTTAAAACTCCAACAAAATCCTTGGAGTTTTTGTTTTGATTTTTTTACACGTAAATGCCACATGAATATGATACAACATTAGAGAATCTGTTAAATATTTGTTATCTTACTAATGTGGATTGTCTTTACCAAACTGGGAACCAGTGGATTTGATTTTCTTAGGTCAGTTTAAAAATGCATCTTTTATACAAGATTTATTCTTCTGGCTCTGAGGGGGATAATTCTCACCACATTTGCTGCTGTCCTGTAGGATCCATGCCTGTACATGGTTCATCCAGAAGCAGGATAGGAGAATTTCCTAGGATGCTCAGCACAAAACCCAACTGAAATGCAGAGAAACACCCCTAGTTGCTGCTTCTACCACCATGTCCCACCCTCAGAACATCATCACACCTCACATACCTTTCTAGTGGCTCCTGCTGTTAACTTCTGCACTGGGACATTCAGCAGTTTGTGCATTTTGAATGTACCCACCAATCTGATGGGAAACAGGAAGAGAATGTCAGATGGAGAGAGGATTCAGGGAAAATGCCATCACGTGGAGGAAGAACAGCCTTGGAGGAAAGCTGGGTGCTATTATTCTCAAAACTCTAACTCCAAGGACCAAGGGAAAATCACAGTTTATTATGGGACATGAAAGATTTTTCATCTCATAAAAATTTTTAGAGAGTGAGTTGAATTCTGTATTTGGAACTCAAATGGATGATGGAGCATTCACTTGCCAAAAACAGCGCTTGCCCTTCTTCCCTGCTTTACCACTGACACTCTCTGAAAAAGTGGAGGTGTCAGTTCTACTCCACATTCTTTAGTAGTGAATTCATCATCAATACATAGCTTCCCTGCCTTTCCACACAAAGAAACCACATGACTGTCTCTGTACCTTGTGATGGCGACTGCGGCATCCACCTTCCTGAGCCCTTTCACCACAGCGAACACCTCCAGGTGTTGCCTCATGGTCAGGTTGGGCCATAGCACATCATCCTGAGGGCAGTACCCCAGGAACTTGACCGTGCCATCTCCTTGATGCCTCCCAACTGAACTATATCCTCTCAGTTCCACCTAAGAAAGGAAACTGGTTTTAGAAATATGAGTAGCCTTTTCTCTGATCATGTAATAACTCAAGAAACTGGCATATAGTTAATATATGTCTACATTTTTTTGAGCATCACAGAAATATAGAAATTACTTTAGGCATTTATTATTAAAACTTTTTACATGACTAAAAGCATAGCCATACAAAGATATAATGTATATTTATCATGAAATTTCTCTTCTGGGAACGGGAACTGTTCTTCATTTTTTACTACCTTGCCAGCTGTTGGGTCCGTGACCCCAGACACCATTCTAACAGACGAGCTTTTGCCAGCACCATTGGGTCCTAGCAACCCCAATATTTCACCTGAAAGAGAATCACTAGTGATCAATACCGGAAGTGACATACTGATTAACATAAAACTGTTTTTCTTTAATTACCTTATTTTTTATTTTACTGCATCTTTTTCCCATTACCATTTAGTTTCCTCATACTCCTACCTCCTGCAAGGGGGTGGAGGTACTGAGCAAAAAGGAAAAAGGACTCACAGACATGGACTTTAATAATAACCTTATCTGATAACCCCTCAGTATCATTTTGAAATTTATAACACATATGCAACCCACCAAAACATGTCTTTTACTCCTATAATTATAGAAAGTATTGGTGAAAAGCTTATGAATTTGCCAATTCAGAAGTATTATGCCAATACTTCTTTCTTTCTCTTTCTTCCTTTCTTTCTCTCTCCTTCCTTCCTTCCTTCCTTCTTTCCTTCCTTTCTTTTTCTTTATTTTTTTTTAGTGAAAAAAGGCCCCAATTGTCTACTGTAGCAGATGGGTGATGTGCTGACTCCATGGGTAAGTGACTCCTAAACTTAAGAAGTGGGGGCATCGTCTCCATCCCCAGTTCCACTACCTGTGTTCAAGCCATCTATCATCTGAGCTCACATAAAAGTCTCTTGACTTGTCCACAACCCAAATTTATAAACAAGCAATAGCCAGTATGTGTGGTTTTTTTCAAAACATAAGTTAAATTGTGCCAAAACACTGTCTTAAAATCCTCCGGTAGCATTTTAATAACTTGATAGAATATTTGAACTCTGCCATATTTCACAAAGCTGCATCCCTTCCCCCTGCTGCTGCAGCCTCTGGCCTCTCTGGGTGTGCCTCAACCCTTCCCAAGGCATCCCCAGGTCTGAGTCCCTGCTCTGCTGTTTCCTCCATCTGGGGAGATCTTATCTCTTCATGTCCCTTAGCAGACACCTTCTCATCGGGTGGCTTAGTTACTGCTGAAGGAAGGTCTTCCCTGACCCTGCATGAAGGCAGACCCAGGTCACACATATCATTTCACACACATGAATGAATGTTCCACATAGAACTTCCTTATGTAATCTTTGAGACTTTTCTTGATAAGTCATTTCTGTTTATTGACCCCTCTTAGGATGTAAAATCCATGCAGACAGGAACTTGCTTATTTAGTTCATAATTACATTTTTGGAAGCCAAAACAGTCCCTGGGACATTAAAAAAATGTATGTTAAATGAATGAATGAATGAATGAATGCTTCAGCAGGAATAGTGGAGCCTACGACACAGGTGTTCAGTGTGCATTTCTAAAAATAATTATGAGTAAAAAAGTGGCTGTTCCAAACCTTTTTTAACACAGAAGGAGATATTTCTTGTTGCTACTTTCTTCTTCCTCTTAGAAAAGCAGTTTTTCTTCTGGCCTGCATATTTTTTGTGCAGACAGCTGGCGATTATGACGGGTTTCTGGAATAGATGACAATTTGTTGGGAACCGCCCTGACTGGTATCAGAGGCTGAAACCCCCGCCTAGGCTAAAGCTAAGGGAACACCCTTGGAACCGTGAGCCAGCAAGGAGACAAAAGCTTATCTCCCTGGCAGGAATGCTGCTTCTGCTGCTTTATTCATGACTGAACCCCCAAAAGCTTGGTCAGTTAGCCAAAGACGGGTAAGATTCCCCACGGGGGAACGACCTAAGACAGGCACAATCACTTTGGGAGGCCCCCCCAAAAGAAGGACTTGGGGGGCTGCAGCAAAAGGGGGTGATGGACCCTCGCTCCTCGGCTTTGACATAGCCTGAGTTCTCATCGTCTGGGAGAAAATCTCCTTATCTCTCAGTTGCCTTAGTTCCCTTGCTCCACCTAAGCCTGAAACAATGACAGGGTGGTACAGCTCGGTACTGAGAAGTGCGGATTTCCCGGGGTGATCAGGCCTAAGAAAGAATATGTAAATTACTGTGAAACCTCCTTTGTTTAGAATGCTCTCAGTTGAATGAGAAGGGTCTTAGGAGGAAGTTAGTTTTGTTCCTCAGTCTTACAGCTCTTTGACCCCAACTCAATAGACCGGCAGAGTTCTTTGTTTTCTATAGTTCCTTACTTCCCCCTAATGAGTACTATACTTTACCTGAATTATTATGCAAAATGAGCCTAATAAAAGCAGGTATGGACGGTAAATCAGCGCGCTCCCCACTAGGGGGGTGGCCATTCTGTCCCTACTTCCCCACAGAAACTAGTCTGTCTCTGTGCATGTGTTGTTTTTTCTCGCGTGTTTATCGTCGAGCCATCCACAGCGTTCCGTGGTCACTGCTGGCCGGTGACCCACGCGCAACAACAATTGATTTCCCTCTTAAACTTCAGAGACTTTATGTTCCTATATTCTCCCTATTGGAACCCTTCATGCCTTATGTCATGAACCAAATTGTCTTTTGAGATGAGGGTAATCCCATTGCTCATTTCAAATGTAACATACACTCACTAATGTTTCTTGCTCCTAAATGAATGGAGCAAAACAGCATAATTTTAGGAAATCTGGCTCATTGCCTTCCCAGAACAGAAGTGTCTCACTCATGGGAATATCACAACATGTAAGTCAAAGAAAAGAATAACCCTTAAAATTCCAATCTCTATTTAGGATTTTGTAACAGATTTCACTCACATAAATTCCGCAACTCATGAAATTTCTGGTTTTGAAATTATAGCTCTAATGATCAAAGTCCATTTTTTTCTCAAAAGGGGAAGACAGCCATTGTGTTCTGTGTGCTTCTTAGAGCTACCAGGACACCCCAGAGAAGTGCTTGCATATTAAAGAATTATGGAAATGCACCAAAGGCCCACTTTTCAAAATGAAAATCACCACATCAGCGTCTGGTATTGATAGTTCTCAGATAGTTCCATTAACATGCACTTCGCCCCTTGCTTGTCTACCTCCTCTAAGTCTGAAGTGGTCAGGGCGGCCGCTGTCCTTCTTCTTTCTGCTTGAACATCTTCATCTTCATCGTCAGGTTCCTCTGCATATGGTTGGGCCTCTCTTCTCTGGGGGGAAATTCTGTGGAGAACATGAAAATGCATGCCATGCAATCTTTCTCGTTGTCAAAGGTGGATCAAAAATCAGCCCCCTGGTGATTTTACCATTCTCCCTTTCTTTCTTTCAGTCAGCTGCTGCTGCTGACGGCCCCCTCAACGCTGCCTTTGCATCTGCCCTAAATCCCCACCCTGGTAGCCAGAATCCCTTTTGCAGTGTGGTCTCCCATTCTTTTAGTTAGTATCCTTGACATTTTCCAATTTGCTGGCAAGTGTTACTGCTTCTTTAAAAATCAGGTCACCCATATTTCCTGTTTACTCTGAGCCCATGTAATTGACCCAGCGATTGCCTTAGTATCTTTTATTGTTCACCCTTTCTGGAGTCCCCCCACTGGTGTAGCTCTCGAAACTAGGTTGTTCAACCAATTCCACCCCATCTCTTCTGTTCAGGGATGTGTAGCCATCTCGGATTGCAGAATGACACACTGGAGTGCTCATTCAATCTTTGAGACACTGAAAGCTTCCCTCAGCTGGTTAGTGTCGGAACTCTGCCTGGGAGCCCTGTGTCTCAGCAGGAAGCCAGCAATCCCCTGACTGTCATGAAAATCAGCATGCTGTCCACATTGTAAAGAAAAGTCTGCATCAGCAGGCTGATAGTACAGTCACTACTAGGAATATTCAAATGCAATATTAAGTAGGAAATGAAGCTTTGCCTGACCTGAAAACAGGATCCCTTCGCATTGTTTTCTGCCCATACTTTATTTCAAGTCGTCTTAGAACAAAAATGAATAGCAAAACCTGAAAGTAAGGCTAGGAGCAAAGAGAAAGAGTTATATGCAGGCTTGTCACTCAACAATATTATTTAGACATTTGACTTAAATTGGTGGCCTTTTGTGTTCAGGTAAAATGGATGTGGATCATCTTACAAATCAGGGGAGATGGCCAGCTACACAGTGACAGTTGGGCTTAGTGGGGCCTGATCCCTTTCTTGTCACAACCTGCATTCAGTCTGCCAGCAAATTCTGTTTCGCCTTCAGAATTATCCAGAACCCAACCACTTCTCACCTGTATTTGTGCTGTTCCCACCCAGGCCCAGGTTGTTGTCATTTCTCATTATTACAAAAAGAAGAAATATATAACGATATCACAACACCTTTCTCCCTGGTCTCCCTCTTCTTCCCTTGCTCCAAACATCTATTCTCAACACAGCCACTAGAGCTCCTCTTAAAACATGTCCTGACCCAGCACTTTGCTGGAAACTCACCAATGACTCCTCAGTTACTCAAAGTCAAGTCAAAATCCTCAGAGTGACCAAGAATACTCTGTGTCACCCCCTCTATCTGCCTGCACGTCACCCTATTACTTCTGACCTTCTCTGGGACCACTCTCCTCTTTGGTCACTCTGCCACAACCAGACAGGCCTCCTTCTTGACCTGGGAACAAGCTACGGTGACTCTTGTCCCCTCTTACTGGGATGCTCCTCCCCAAGCTATCTCTACAGCTTGCTTCCTGCCTTCCTCTGATTATTTCTCACCCAGCCCTCTCCTGGCCACCCACCTGACATGGTATATAGTATCTATTTAGTTTATTGTCTGTCTTCTTTTACCAAAAAATAAACTCCATGAGGGGAGGGACTTCTCTCTGTATTTGCTCCTGTGCCTGAAGAAGTATTGATGCATTGTATTCAAAGATAGCAGCTTCCTTCAGTCTAAATATATCAACATTGTCATTTTCTCCCTTTCATTTTAATTATTTAGCTTTTGCTTTTTTGCCTCTAATTCAAAGAATTTAAGTTATGCTTCATCTGTATGTTTTTAAATCCTTACCTGATGATATGTTTTTTACTGATTTTAGAGAGAGAGGGAGAGAGAGAGAAATATTGGTTTTGCCTCCCATATATGTCCCAACCAAGGATCGAGCCCTCAACCTGGGAATGTGTCCTAACTGGGAATTGAACCCACAGCCTTTTGGTGTACAGGATGATGCTCCTACCAACTGAACCACCCAGGCAGGGCATATTTGATCTGTATTTTTGACAAACTCTCTCAAATTTGGAGGGGGCTGTATACAGAATAAATAAACATGAAAGATAATTTCACATTGAATTCTGGATTTATATCATCCATTCATGCATATAAAAAGTAACTCTAGGGTTGAGAATCATGTTGGAATGTAATTGCTTATTCTAAGACTAAAACACCTTTAAAGCTGGCACACTTCTAACAAGACCAAATAGTTATTATAGTAAATGATAACTCCCCCCCTCAAAAAATAGGTGGTGGGTTAGAAAAACCTTCTTACTATTAGGCATATTAGTAAATCAGTTCCACTCAGAATGTAATGTTGGTCTCCATTTCCTTGTTGAGCAAAGATTCTCTGCAAAGGCAAAAAATAAATGGCTAAATGAAAAGTCATCAGCTTTACAATCTCTATTTAAATAATATGGAATTTCACATATTGAATACTTTCCTTAAGCTTGAGTCCCTTATGTGAACTGGTGACAAGCAATTCCCTTCTGAGACGGGAGGGGACCCCCTACTCAACTCTGAATGTCTCTATGTTTATCTTTTCCAATCCCTCTTTTTCCTTTAATATTTTAGTTTAATGTTTGCTGAAAAGCAACTGAAAGCATAAGAGAGACAACTTCACCATGATAAATTGGAAGCATCAACAGTGTTTGTCCTACAGAGCCATCGCCAGTCTTTTCAGGGTTCTTTCCCACCCCAATGATGACTGTTTCCACCATAATAGTTAGTCCCATTGTGTGATTCTTTCTTTATCAATGAATGCATTCAACAAGTGACTCACTACTCCTAAATAATGTGTGACAGGTCTAAGGTAATCTATTTCACTTTGCAGGTCGACTTCTATTTTAGGAGAAAAAATGCTTTACAAAGGAATAAATTTTCAATTCAGAATTTCAGATGTTGTTCAGTCAACAGAAATGTGTTTTTATAGATGGAAGGCTTTTTCAGATTCTCAAGAACACAAACTTGGGGAAGCCCTCTCTCCTTTGTTTAAAGCTGCTTCATGCAAGATGATGCAGGGCCCCCAACAGTATGTTCTTGACTTTGCTCTTCTGCTAATCTCATTGTACATTTCTTTCCATTTGAATCACATTCAGAGTATTTAGTGCTTCCTGGTGTTTCCTTCTTCAATGCCATTGCTTCCCTCTACAGAACATGCAAACCTACTGCCCCACTGTCCCATTAATTCTTATTCTTCAGGACTGTGTTTAAACATTGCTTTTCATTAGACTCTCCAGAGCATATCAGCTGCACTTGAAACTCTGCCCTTCTCCTTTTCAACCTTTTAGTGCTTTGCACTGACTACTTTGAGGTTGGCCTTTGCCTCCACTAAGCTCCTTGAAAGGTAGGTCTGTGCTATCTTGTCCATCAGATGTCCCCAATTACTAGCACAGTGCCTAACATAGAATAGGGTTTAACATATATTTTGAATGAATGAATCATATTGTACCTGAGTGTATTCCTCACAATGGATCATGAATACCCATTAGCCTGGGCAACATTTTTCCATCTGGCACTAGTTTTGAACAAGCTAATTAAGTTTTACAAAGTACACATGGCAAAGCTCTTTTTAGTAGCATTATTGAGGATAAATTTTCACACCATAAAATGCACTTATTTTAAGTGTGCAGTTGAAGGATTTTTAGTAAATTTACAGACTTGTGAGAGCAACACCACATTTTCACTTAAGAACATTTCCATCATACGCATTTCCTGTTGCTCCCAATTCCCACCCAGGCCCCAGAAAACCAGTAGCCTACACCCCATCTTTGTAGATTTGGGCAAAGCATTTTAATAGGTTGCATAATCAAAATTAGTGACACAGTTGATAATATTTCTTACCTCTATCACAAAAGCTATAAATCCATCCAAAACGAATTGGGGAATAAATATCATACCCCAGACTGTACCGGGTAAGTATAAGTCTCTGAACAGAAGGATTTCTAGCATGGTGATTGAGCTCTACAAGGCAAGTTGAAATATATTGCATGTCAAACATATTCAGTCCATTCACATTTGAGAAAACATTTAGAAAACGTTTGAGAAAATATGTAGGTGTTCTTGTCCTATGTATTAGAATTTTCCCACATGTAGATAAACCCCTTTCAGAAGGAAAAGGGAAAGGAGAAGCTTTTGATAATGAGAATACTGGGACCAGCACAAATAACACCTCTTTTTTTAATCATAAAATCATTTATTAAAAAATTATAATCATGTAATTCTGTAACATGACAATATCACACTCAAGCACAGCATAGGACATTTTAGGTGAAATGTTCAAATTAAAACTATAAATCATTACACCCACATTATTACCCTACCAACCACACTCAAGGAGGTGTTACTTCTGCTGAACCCTGAATATATTTGACCTTACAAAAAAATCCATACTGCCTCCCACCTAGACTGAAGTTTTCTGATTGCCACATCTGCTCCATTAAGTGCTCATTCCAAATAAATGATTTTTCTGAGATTGTGCATTTTGATTGTAATGGACTGATTTTCTTTTAGATTACTGGGATATGTTAGGGTGGAGTTGAAAATAATTTAATTTCCTGTTTTAAGGATCAGTTTACCAGTCACTAAGTATGTTTTGAGCACTTTATTAAGACACTGCTGGGCCTTATCAATGTATTAATTACACTAAAACTAGTACGTTTTAAAACTAGTAAGTTCATCGACTACTACACAAATGCTAGGCATTAAGAATTTAGCATGCATTGTGCACTTTAATCCTCACAGCTCTGTCACATAATGGTGCACATTATCTATTACTTTATATATGGGGAATCTAGGGTCCAGAGACATTAAACAACACCCTCAAGACAACACAGTTAGTGAGCGACAGAGCTGGAATTCAAAACTCTGGGCAACTGTGATTGCTAAGTCTGTATGTTAGAAAACTATACTATTTTGAAGAATTGTTACATAAAAGGGAATGTTGCTCTTAGGGGAAGTTAAAGTTTTGGGGGAATATGACATATGAAAGACAATTGGGAAAAACAAATAACATCATCAAGTATTCAGGAAGAGCACGATAAACATTTTAGATGGCAAGTACAAAAGACTTTTCTCATTTCACCACCTCCACAATCTCTCTGCAAAGGTATTGCACAACTGTCCATATTTACATACTTCTCTTCTCTTAGTTTCCATGACATCACAGTTTTGTATTTTTTCCTATCTCCTTGTTTTTGATAACTGAGTCCTTTAGTCCACCTAGCTGACTCCATTTATTCTACTAGGCCTCCAAGTTTATACTTTTGTGATTCTTTTTCTTCTTCCTTTTTACCCACTGGAACAAGAGAAGATGCAGAAATGCACCAAAGGAAACACTCCATGGACCAGTGTGCTAAGATGTGTTACTATACCTCTACCACTAGGCTGAAATATGGGCCGGCAGGATGCTTCCTTATTAAACAAGGGCCTAAGATGCCCATGAAGTGCCACACCCTTGGGGGGTACAGGAGTCCACTGGACTTTAGAAACAAATTAACTGTTGACTGTGGCTTCACTCAGTGATGGGGAAACATTGCCTATACTGTCCTTCCGAGTATACATAAGATCACAAATGACAACTGCACTGACCATCAGCAAGTGATGCCTTTTTAAAATTGATCCTGTGAGTGATAAAAAATCACCTCAGTCCTAAGATTGGCATGATTGAAACTTACACTAACTGCATGATGAAAGATCAATTATCACAGTACCTACCCTTAATACATATTTTGAATGAAATTATAAATTCTTTTTAGCAGGCATAAAGATGTTGCAAATGGCTTGAGTCTCCGTGAGGATGTATAGTTCAGCCTACTAAAGTCCAGATGTGGGACAACACAACTTCACGTCAGTATCGTGGACCATGCTACCATCTCTTATTTTTTGAGGTGAGGAATGACATAAGGTCTGAGACCTGTTTTGTTCCTAAGTCTGTCACTAGTTTTTGTGTGACCTTAAATAAGTTACTTAATTATTTTCACTCTTAAAAATGAGGGGAATTATCATAGGTAATCTTGAATTTTTTTTCTAATCTGATATCCCAATATTCCATAAAAATATAGTTTCTTTTCAATGGTATAAAAATGAAATAAGTAGACAAGTAGTGTAAAATAAATAAATATCAAAAAGTAAAAACCAGAAATTATAAACACGTACTATACTATATATAACACTGAAGCAATTTTTTAAATTTTTAAACAAAAAATTTTATTTTAAAAAATTTACTTTGCCTCTGCAATACCACCTTATTTTAATACACAATAATTCAAAAATAGTAGCAGCAAAAGAAAAATAGTATTCAATCACAGATAGATACAATTATATTTCAATGTGAAAAACATAGTGTTTCAGAGTCACATGTTTGATTCTCTGATGTGGTCCTTTACTTGCTATGGTTTGTGCCACCACAGTGAGAACATCTTAATGATCACATTTGTCCACAAACCTGATGGAAAAGGTGTTCTGCTTTATTGTGACTTTCCCAGAAATAACAAAGTCCTATTGCTTTAACTCATGTATGCTCTTACAGCTAAGGAATTATGCAAGAGGAACTCATTATCTGATAATGCAGGCTCCATTCTGCCATCTACCATATATTGAGGTAAATTAGCCCTCATTAGACTTCCACTCTTTGTTATATATATATAAAGTATTAGGAGAAATGGTCTCTACTCTCTAAACCAAGAGATGAAAGCTATTGTTCTTGAAGACTGTTTTGTTTCAAGTTCTGGAAGGTAAGTCATGTTCTGTAGAACTGATGCACTTTGGATTCCTAGAACCTGGACATTTTTTCCACCTCCAGACCTCACTCCAGAGCCTGCATCCCCAAGAAGAACTCTGTCCCTGCTTGGCTTTCCCGCTGAAAGCTGAAGGAGAAGGGGCTGATGAGGTATGGTTCTACCTTTGAGGCCAAACGGTCCCCTATCTGAGATATTGTTGAATCTATACAAACCAGGGAGAATTGTGAGTATAAGGTGAACCAGGGGCTGATTTTTCACTTGGCACAAAGCAAAAATACATTCTAGTAGACTTCTATTTGTCTCAGTCTAGAATGGCTTCTATTTAAGGAGAACCAACACAAGAATGGGAGAGACAAAGTAAAAGGAGCCATGACCTTCTGCTGATTATTTAGGAATCAAGGGAAAGAAGCTCAATGAGTGTCTATGAGGGAACTCATGGGGATACTTCTAGCCTCCATTAGGCTGGCAGTAATGGACCATCAACACTCATATTAGCAAATAACCCTGAAATTGCTTGAACATCAGCTCTGAAAAAGACCTCATTCAGAACTGAAACTACTAGAAAACACAAAGTATGGACACAAATTCTTTGTTAACATTTTGCTGGACATATACAAGAGTGCCAACTGAAATCAACTATTAGGCCCTCTTCTACTGACATCTGTACTGCATACCCAGCGCCTGGGTTTACATTGGGCACAGGCAATAAGAATTTGACTGAATGAAAGTTCTCATGCAAAGGGTGAGAGGAAGACTTTTGGCGCACCAGATTGTAATACCGGCTTCAAAGCCAGTTTTCTAAGTGAGGCATCTCTATAAGTCTTTCTGTAATGTCTAAACTTGTATTGGGTTGTCCTGATGGTGATAAGTGGGGCAGTAAGAGATACGACCTGCTGAATACCAGGAAATAAAGTCTGGAGAAGCCAAATCAGAAGGGATAGGCCAACAGCTATCTGCTAACCAGGGCAGTCTAAGGCTAACTTCCTACAGAAGTGAGCGGGTGCTGGCACATGTGTTTTCTTAGCAGATGGCCTCTGGCTGGCTTCCTCTGGTGGTTTCAGGACTTCAACTCCAAGAGTTGGGAGCTGTGTTTGCAAGCCAGATGTTCAACCACCAGGTGAGAGTACCAGCTAAAATGCACCTGAATTTCTGGGAGTAGGCACTCTGGGTATCCAGAGTCTTGGTAAATATCTCCGTCCCAGTTTTCAGTAATCTTGGACTTTCAGTCATCTTTTATTCATACTCATGAACAAGTATACTGTTGTAGGCACAGAAACATCTCCAATCTCTAAAATTACTAGCATCTGAGGTTAAAAGACACTTTCTTTAAGATTGTAGAAATGGATTATATTGTTCAATGTTATTAGGTCAATTTTTGTTCTAGTGTTGCAAGGAAGCCCTGTATGCTGAAGGACTCATAAACTCAACAGCAGCACTTTGAGCTTCAGATTTCCCATAAAATATTCCATGAACTTTAGTCAAGGGGTTGTACGTGAATTCTTCAGGAACACTATTGAATCAGCAACATATTATGTTCTTTCTTCTTTCTATGGTGTCATTTTAAGGTATTACTTTTCCCATTGTTCAGGGAAAAAATAAATATATTTACTGTTACACTGAAAGTTTAAAATAGAACTCTATTTCTCTCTATTTGTATGTTTGTCTGTATACTTACAATATAGAAGCAAAATGACCAAAAGCCACTGTTTTTTCTCCGCTTGCCAAAAATAAATGATATCACATATGTGAACAAGATGAGAGAAGCCGCATAACCAAATGTAATTGTAACCTAAAGATAGGATAAATAATACCAAAGTCAAAAAATAAAATGTTGAAGGAAAATTTAAATTATAAATATTTTAAAACATTCTATTGAACATGCACTTTGCATTTTTTTTGTTTTAGTTTAGGACAAAATTAAAATGAAAATGTCTTGATTATATCAAATATCAAATGTTAATATTTATCATGAATTAGATTATAAGACAATCTCTGTGTAGGGTGTTACTTACCAAACCGAACACAATTCGAGTGTCAAAAAAAACTTGTGCTAGGTATGTTGTGTAAAAAATTACATACATTACAAGAAGAATAAAAACGAAGATGCTGGTATCCACCAGGGCCTGTCCACACCAGTAGGCAGAAGGATAGAGGCCTGAAACCCAAAGCTGGGCCTTAGCTCTCTTCTGATGAAGAAACACAGAGATCTGGTTAAAGTCCAAATCCAAAAACAAACCCATTGGAAGACATGTTAAATATAATCTAATCGAATACTTTTAAATTTTCTAATAATTTTAATTAGGCACATACTCTTTAATGGAAATTTGCTAATTTCATTAAAGTGACTTTTGAAAATGGATATTAATTCATTTTATAGGTTTGATTCACAACACCACTTTAACTTATGCATAATAAATAAAAAGCAGATTTAATAATGATCAAGGAGTGAATCTCTTTCAAAAGAAATATCATTTGTGGCCTGAAGGACAATCAGTTCTCCGTTATGTAAACACGCTTTGGGAGGGTTGCTGGCTCAGTATTATGAAGGATGACTCACCTAAATCTCACTGAACTGTTTGACTTGGATAATGGGTGTAACCAAATACCAACATAAGGAAAAATTGTATTCCCCACAGTAAAAAAGGGACTCAAGTCTTAAATCTGGTCTTTTTCAGCATCTATGATTTCTTCTTTGTAGTTAAGAAATAATATAGTTGAAAGTTTTATAATATTCCCCTTGTAATGTTTAACTTGAATCCCTGTAAAATTATTGTACTTATTCTGTTAATTTTGAAATAAAAAGCATTTTGTGGTTTCAATTTTTATCGTATTTTTCCACTACCATTTATCCCTCTTATACCTTCTTCCACCTCCCCCCGCCCCTCCCCCAACCATCACCACCCTGTTGTTTGCATCCACAAGTATTTCATGTTTTTAGAAGTAAATTTCTGACTTGCTAGAAATAATGCTTAACTACATTATCTAAATTAAACATATGCTTAAGTGTTTTTCTCACAGGACAACATTTTGGACAAATAGCATTTAAAACACAAGTGTTAAGCTCCCTAAAGTTTCTTTTTTTTCCCTTCCCCATCTCTTACTTTGTAATCGCCGACGCTGCTCATGGCCAAGTAAGGGGAGATACAGCTCACGAAGGAAAATAAGAAGAAGGAGGCTTCTGGCAGCCCAGTGTAGGTCACTACGAAACTCTGCAAATATGAGATGCACATTAAGCTAGTGAGCATTTTTAAAAAATTACACAAATACTAATAACCACAATGAATATGCTGTTCAAAATATGGGAAAATCAAATTAAAAGTGTGTCTAGTTCATCAACATCTATGCATGGCAGTGGAGGTAGGTAACTTCTGATTATGAAGCATAAGGTTGAAACTCTTAGAACAAAAGCGGGGAATATAAAATAACCCAGGACCCACTTCAGGGTAAATATGAAAAAGAATTGAAAGCAGTACCTAAAAGGTATCTCTGCCCACACATTTCATAGCAGCACTATTCATAGCACCCAAGAGGGGGAAGTGACCCAATGACCATGGACAGATGAATGGATAAACAAAATGTACTGTGTACATACAGTAGGATACTGTTCAGCCTTGAGAAAAAAAAAAAAAGAAAAGAAAATCCTGGCCCATGCTGCCACATGAATGAAGTTTGAGGATGTTATCCCAGGGGAAAGCCAATTACAAAAAGACAAATACTATACACTTGTCCTCTTATGAGGTATCAAAAGTAGTCACATTTCATAAAAACAGAAAGTAAAATGATGATTGCCAGGGTCCAGGGGAAGGAGTAATGAGAAGTTTTTATTTAATGGATATAGCGTTTTAGTTGCACAAGATGAAAAAGTTCTGGAGGCCTGTTTCCGCGACAATGTGAATATACTTAACACCAGTGAACTGTACACTTAAAAATGGTTAGGATGGTAAATTTCATGTTCCATGGGTTTTTTTTTACCACAATACAAAAAAATAATAATTAAGGAATTCTGGTCCTAGGGAAACAGATTAGTCAAGCTTCAGCAGCAGGTGTTTCTCAGTAAACCTAGTTGATGGACACGTGGGAACTACGGCAGCCAGCTGGCTGTGCTCTGAGGCACAGACCTAAAACGAAAACTCGATGCCACTGAGCCTGTCTTCCCGGAGCTGCGCTTTAAATCACTGCCCCTGAGTCAGTGTCTGCCTGAGGCTGGGCTTATGCTCAGGCGGGGTACGGAACTGCCTCTTGGGTGGTAGCCTACCTCAAAATCATCCCACAATTCTCAAGTTTTCTGTAAGGCTTTGGGGGCTGTACCTAGAAATTTTCCAGCAGGTGGGAAAACGTATTACTGTCTTCATAAGAATGGCTGAAAGAAGAATTGTTTCTGCCACTGGGGAGGCTAAGAGTGTAGCCATGGAGCCTCCGTTCATTTTAATCTTGAACCAACATGAGGACAAAGAGGGAGTAATGTGTATCTCTTTGTGCTGTCAGCTGGTTCCACCTTCTGGAGACTTCCCTTCAGATACCACCACTCTTGAACTTTCCCTGCTTTCAGGGACAGTGGTGGCTTTGACTGCCAGAGGATTATGTTGCCTGCTGACCTCTCAGGTATAGTCCATCCATGTGCTTCTCTGTGTACCCCCAGAACCACAGATGCAGTGAATCCAAAACTGAATTTGACCCCTTTGTTACAAAATGGGCTTCCCTTTTGGAGGCTCCATTTCTAGTCCTGTTTATTTCTCTCCCAACGTTCTGGTCAGAAACAGCTGAAGTCAGCTTTGAGAGATCCCTCTGGGGCATCCATGGGGCTCTAACCAGAAAACCATAACCACCTTGAGTACTTCAAATAGAGTGAAATTAATCCTGCAGTGGTTATATGGGAGGAAAGAGCAGAGAAGCCAAGGATGATGACCCAAGAAGCTGCTGTCACGTCCGGGGTGGAGGGACAAAGGAAGAAAGTGATGTCACTGAAGGCCAGGGTACGAGATCCTTCTGCTGTCCTGGCTAAAAGCACTGCTTCCAGTTGCCAAGCCACACTAGGGCCAGCTGACAAAGAACCCTGAAAACGCAGCCTGTGTGTGGCAGACACCCCCACAATGCAGAGCAACTGGGTAGGTGAAGGGGTTATCAGAAAGCATATAGCCCAAGAACTGGTAGACTGTCCTTCAAATCAGTCAGTCTACTAATTTAGTCAAAGAAGGATCCACCAACATATTATGTAAGATTTATGAGATTCTAAAACAGGGTTATATGTGTTCCTGACTTCCAGTTCAGCATATAAACACACACACACACACACACACACACACACACACACAGTCTCATTCTCTCTCCAGTACATTCCTACAATCAAGCACGTGTCTTTTCAGAAGATTTTCTGGGAGACTATGACACAATATGGAGAAAAATCCCCCCATGAGAATTCTCTGATTATCATAGTAAAGGGAAAAATTATGCTCCGTTAGACAATAATCTGCTGAAAATATAAGGACAAAATTAATTTGGAGGGGGGATGGAAATAAATTACAAATATTTAAAAGCTGAAGAGGGAGCATATAGGTGGCTTGTCAAATTCCTCATTGTTCAGAAGGAGTGAAGCCAATACTTACAAAGGGATATGGGCCTCTGGCAGTTCGAATCTGTTGCGTATGGTTAAACATGCGAAGCAGCCCGTTGCTGATAATACTCATAAGAATAGGAAAACAGTGACGTCTCTTGGTATTGCATAAAGCTGAAAATCTATAATCCTTTAAATAGACACAAATGAGATGATGTTAATTCTAAATGAAGAGCAAAGAAAAGGGTTTGTACATAAAATCTCAACAGTGCCATCTTCTAGCTGTGTGGCCATCTTCAAAGCCCCCTGCCTTTTTGGAGCGGCACATCCTCGCCCGTGACAAGGTGTGTGTGATAAACAGGTTGTTATGCAGTTTAAAGGGGATGATGTATATTAGGCCCTAGCACAATCAGCAGTATGAAATTTTATCAGTATTACTAATTTTAGATTGTTTTGTCCTCCTTGTGCTCATAAGGAATTTCAGCTGATGGAATTTAAAAGTGGCCCTGATGAAGAGATCCTGTCGGTCTGCAATGAGCAAGCACAGAAACCCTGTGTTTCTGGATACGAAGTAAGCATGGGGTTCACAAAACATTCGAGCTACACTGCCGATGAAGCATTTTTACACTTCCAAGGACAATGTCTATGTTCTTCATGTTTATGAAAAAGAGGCTCGATATTGTTTAAATACTACCAAAAGTTCCTGTAATAAACGTGTTGGGTAAGTAACAAGCAAAGCATCTGCCAAGCGATGTCGTTGCCCACATTGAGGTTACATTTTTTTTAATGATGCACTTAGTTTAGGTAGAACCGAAGTCAATGGTACATCTTCAAAGGCTTTTGCTTTTTTTCTCCTTGTGGCAAGAAATAAAGAGGTAGCTTCACTGAATTGAACTCCCTTACTTCCAATGCAAGTAAGATTCAGAGTCTACTTATGATTAGGATGTATTTTCAATAGTTTTCTTCCTGTAAAGATCTCTATTGCTTATAGTCTTCACCCAAATGGAAACATGTTAAGAGAGTAGGCTGAAAAAAATTTTCTCAGAGACTTCAGTGGCTATGATAGTATTTAATGTATTTTTTCAACTACAAAAAGCCAGTTTGGTTAGTTAGCCATTGCATAGGATACCTTTAATTCATAATTATCTTGGATGGTAAGTTTAAGTCCTAATATTTCATTGGGTTTGAATGATGCAATTATATTCAGCTACTTTTAATTGTAAAAGATCATCTCATTCAAAAGTTACGATGGCAAATGGTCTACACAAATTTAATTAAGCTTCTCAGATTATTTAATAATGATCTCAAATGATTTTGAGTCACAGTTGCTGCATACTAGCTGGTCTGACTTTCCACATTTTTTAAGATAGTTAAAATGTAGTACTTCATTAATTTTTTTTCATAAAAGCAAAAACAAGAAGCGAGAGGCAAACATACCTTTTGTTTACCAGAAACTACAATAGCTCCATTGTACGACAACTCCTCAGTGCTATTCCTGTTCTTAAAGTCATCAATTTCCAAAAGTATATTCTGATGCTTCAGTGACTGAATAAAATCTTCGATGTTTGATTCTAATATTAAATTAGTAACAGAAGGCCACATAAAACAAAACATATATGTCAAGTTAAAAAAAATAAACCACATATACAATTTATATTTTTATTATGTGAAGGCATATCCCTTTGGCTGTCACAATAATAATAATATTGGCCCATGAAAGAGAACTCATTGTACCATCTTCTATTTGTCAAACCTTACTCTGTGATGAGTGAGCTTTATAATTCTACTCAACGTAAGCTAGCATGTGACCATTAAGACAATATAATTTGATTTTATGACTCTTTGTTAAAAAATACATTTGAACTCAATAATTTGTGGGAATACAATAATCATATGGGGAGTGCCTTGGATTGGCTAGCCTAAAATGACCAATAATACCACCCCTCTCACTTCTGTATTCTCCAAATAACAGAAAAGTAAATATATGTAGGTGTACCTATGAATGTATTTTACATATTTACATATGTATCACATACATATATACTTCATAAGTATATTTTTGTTAGGAAGTGGGAAATGAAAAGACTGCCACTATCAGACCAAAGTTTTTGATATGCTCCTAACGAAGATAACAGAGAAATAAGAGGTAAGAAAAACCCACAGTCTAGCACACACACAGGGGCCAACAAATACAAAGGCAAAACCAATTTTCCTAATATCTAAACTCAGCAGATGAATTCAAGGGGCAAGGTAGACTCTGAAGCTGCTGTCAGGCTGGTTAACTGTTTAATCACACCTGGAACAAGGTGACCACAGGCCCCTCCCTCTACTCCACACAGAGCAGGTGGCGGCTGCACTTGTCCTCAGAATACAAGTCCCCAAATTGACTTTCTAAGAGACATGACCTGAGGAAAACTGCAGGGCAAAACCTACAGGAACTCCAGACACTTAAAAGACAGACTTTAACGGGAAAAGGAAAAAGAAGGATTCTCATTTTTGGCTCATTCGAACTTTCAAGTAGGAGCTGAGGACAGAATTGGGTTCTGGCACCAGAAAAATAGGGTCAAGCACCAGGCAAATTAGGATTCTTCCCACTAGGTGGGAAAGGGGTGTTCACATGGAAACTAAGCTTTCCTTGCATTGCAGGACAGTTAGCCACACAGCCTGCTCCATCTCCGTAGTCACTTGAGGTAGGGCAGATACCTTAATGGAGATCCACATTCACCCAGGCAAACAGGGATTCAGCTATGAATGTCTTATCAACAATTGTGAGGTTTTTGAGAAAAAGGTGAATGAGGTAGCATAGAAGCTCCAAAACTAAATGACAAAATACCTAACAAGTGAGTACAGAGAAAAGAAAAAAATAAACAAGTGAACACCATGGACTGTGCTCAGAGTAACTGGGGAGGAAAACATTCATGGGGCAACTAAAAGGTAAAGAAACAATTCTAGATCTTGGAGATCAAAGAATTAGCAAGCCTTTCAGTTTTAAGGTAGGAGAATGAATAAACTTCACTTTCTAAAACTCGCATGGAAAATAACAAGAATTAGAAACAAATAAGAAGACCACTGTTGTTTAAAGAGAAGACATCTAGAAATCTGAGTCACAAATGTATGTGAAAACTGGAGTGGGCAGGGGAACTCTTCAAGAGAGAATTCCTATTCTGAATATATTTTGTTAATATTTTAGGCAAAAACATAAAATCTTCAAAGTTAAATAAAGAGGAAGATTAAGCAGTTAGACAACACTGATGACCTATCATTTAGGATAACAGGAGCACACGTACCAAACTGTGTTAAGGCATCCTCCTAGATCTTATTGCATCTCTATATGTCAACCAGTGTATACATCATTAAAGGTAGAAGTTAAGCTGCTGTAACAAAGGGATCTCAAAATTGAGTGGTTCAGCCAATACAGAAGTTTCTCTTTCACATAGCAGCTGAGGGCAATCAAGCAGATCAGCAGCTCTGCTCCACCAGGTGAAGTAGTTACCCAGGATCCTTCGACCCTGTCTCTTTATCGCCATCACCCCTAAACTCTGAGCAAATATGCACAGTTCCTCAGAAACTGTTTTCTATTCATAAAGTCTAAATACATATTTTCTACTCTTACAACTCACTTTTTCCCCTCTACATAAAAATAACTTATTTCTAGGTTTGAATTTTGTCTTTCTGTTCACCTGTGTTATTGATGATCAATAGGCTGGTAAGAGGATCTTGGGGGAGTTGTCCAGGAGAGAGGAAATACAATTCAGGTTTAAATTCCCAATCATTCTTGTGAACTAATACACCTTCAAATATCACTTCCACAAGCATAGGGTACAGTGAAATTCCAAGTACCAATAGCCTATAATAAAGAAAAATTACCATATGAGTCTATAGCAATTGTATTTATTCAGTCAGACATTTCACAAATATTTGTAGAATACCAACTTTATGCCAGCCATAATGATAACTGCTAAAATTTTGAAAGTCACACCTTAGTATGCTACACAGTACAAAAACAGATAGCTATATTAACAGCAGGCAATCAAACTACGAAAACCCAACAGACCAGTGTATGCGGCTCATCACGTGCTAATTTACAGGTATTCCCACTAACAATAAAATCAAATGCTGCATTTGTACATGCTCTGGCAGCAATGTTGGGTATTATGTTCTCGTAAATTTTTTTCTGGTTTTACCCTTTCTTGAAACTCACGACCCAAGAAAACCACAGTACTCTGATACTTACAGAGTCAAAAGTCCTTTCCTTTCATGTTTTAACTTCAAGAAACGGAGCCGCGCCATTGCACAGACCTGCCTTCTCCAGAGTTCCATGTCACCCACAGTCTTCTGAATTTCAGGGCGAGAAGAGTAAGTCGGCTCCATTTCATATAGGCTTTCTGCGTCTCTGCTCATCTCTGTGAGGAGAGAATAAGCACATATGCACATATATACACATGTTATTAATGTCACTCTTGAGTCATCGCAGTTTTCTCTTTTTAGAGAAAAACTGTCTTAGGATGTCTGTTACAAAACAAACGATGTAAGCAACAAGTTTACCATGTCCATATTCAATAAACTCAGTTATCAAATACTCTGAATTCATAACAAAAGAAGTCAGTAAAGGATGATCCCATTGTGTCTGGTCTTTAAAAAGACATATAAAGTCCTACAGGTAACAACATTCTGGGGGACTTCAAGAAATCTTCTCCATGGAAATAGCAAATCACTAATGCCTAAATGTCTGCTATTAAGCTATCAATAATGTAGAAGTCTAGGTGAAAGACTACCAGCCCTGAAACCACACGACCTGTACCCAATTTCCAAATATATGACTTACACGTCATATTATTTGGGGCAAGTCACTTAACTGCTCTTAAGTTGAGAATGGGTGGTGCAATTTTCTCATGTGTAAATGGTGCCAACGACACTGGTTAGAACAGTTATTGCAGAAAAGCAGTGCGATGTAGCCACACATGGATCAAAGTGTCTGGTATAAACCCTCCATAAGTAATAGCTCTTACTATTACCACCCATTAAAATACACAAGACATGGCCCTAAGCCTTTCCCCCATTTAGACCTTGGCGGAATTTTGTATATGAGCAAGTTAAGAGCAATTTTCATACAAAATATCTGTTCAGAGTTCATGACCCTGATTGGGAGGCTTCCATATCCTCAAAATATCCAAGAGGCAGTGAATATCTGGGGACAGAAGAAAGCTGCTGAAAAGGAAGCAAGTGGTTTCTGAAGAGGAATTTGGTGTGTTCCAGGTGCAGTCCGTGCTGAGTCCCAGTGAGGATGTTAAGAAGCAGTGGCAGCCCTTCCCAGAGCATCAGAGTCAAATTTGGGATTAGTCACGTTCTTTTATTTTTTTTCAAAAATTTTTAGGTTTTATTTTTAGAGAGAATAAACATTGAAGTGTGAGAGATACACCTATTGGTTGCCTTTCACATGCCCCCAACAGGGGACCCGGCCTGCAATCCAGGCATGTGCCCAGGTTGGAAATTGAACCTGCAACCTTTTGGTTCACCAGCTGACACTCAATCCACTGGGCCACACCAGCCAGGGCCAGCCACGTTCTTTAGTGTAATCAAGTATAAGACATTACACATACTAAATTGACACACGATCAATTGGAAATTGATTTTATATGACTTGTACAAATGAATTTACCTTGTTCAGTAGTTGATATTTCTTCCACTTTCATGAAGACTTCATTCAGAGTTGATATGGAAATATCATAACTCATCACACCTTGGCCAGAACCCTCATCAAGATCACTGAAAAGGTCTAAGGCCACAGACAGGAATAGATACATTTGAAATACCACTGATAACTAAACCTGCTAAATTTACATATTTAAAAGATGATGCAGAATATCATTCATAAAATTTATATCTTTGCAATATCACAGTAAGCAAAAGCAAATTTTCACTGGAACGCTCTCCCTCTCTGAAATGAGTACGTCAGACCTCTCCCTCTATCCGAAAACTGCCTGTACTCTCCCTTCTGTTCTCAGCTCATGAACTTCCTGCAAACGTCTTTGAGGAAATATAAGCAATCGGAGAGAGCATCATCTTCTCACCTCTACACCACAAATCAGCATGTACTTCTACCCACGTTCTGGGTCTTCGTTTTGTACAGGTAGAAGACTTGTAGCTGCTCCCACCAAAGTCTGCCTCTTGACTTGTGTTCTGAATCTGATCCCCTCTGGTCATCTCAAGAACTTTCCAAAGTAATTTCTCTCTCTCTCTCTCTCCCCCTCTCTCCCTTTTACTCTCCCTCTCTCCTTCCCTCCCTCTCCTGAATCATCAATTTCTCCTACATGTACTGGGTCATCCAAATAGCATGTAAGGTTGCCCATCAAACAGAGAAAAGATATGCACCCAATTAATTTAAAATACAACATGGAACCTGTAGCAGACACCTTGATGCCCCATTCCCATGTCTTCCACACTCACCTTTAATGGCAAATGTGCTTATTAAGAACACCTGTCCGAAGGGCATTGTTTTCTGGGCTCTGCAGTATGCTAAAGCTCATGCTGAGCATAAGCCACATGGGTCAGAAAATTAATGTTCTGGACACATCTCTTGACCAATGATGGCTAGGGAGTGGCAAACAAATGCCCCAGCTTTCTCACCCCTCTTGTGACATAATTCTGAACCCCTTACTTATTCATTTATTTCTCCCAGGGGTATTACACCTCGATTGCTTATTGCCATAACCTGCTCGATAAGGCAAACTTCCCTGGCTTCCTTCCCTTCGGTCTCTCGTATCCCCATTTCCTGGTGCTTCTAGGCATCAATTACCAAACGAATGACACCAAAATCCTCATCTCACATTCTACTTAGGAAACTCAACCTAAAACAAAATCCAAATTCATTAAACACTGAAAAGTTGTAATAACAATGTAAACACTTGGTCCCAAATTTCATTCCATTATAATCATATTGAAGTTACCTGGAAATTTATTTGCCCTTTCCATAGGCAAAGTATACACAAGATTCTCTTTGCTTTCTGTTTTTAATTTAGCACCAGGGATGTGATGATTAATGATGGATGTTATTTTTTCTGGATCACATATTTCATTTCTGTACAAACTATTGTTTGAAAGAAAAGAAAAGTCATTTGTATTTTTCCCAGCACTGTCACAAAAGAAGAGCTTTCTATTGAATATCGAGCCTTTGAGTACTACTTTACTTAGCTTTAACAAACAAAATGATTTTAATAATAATAATAAATGCATAATGCTGTCAGTCTGAAAAATCTGATCTATACAGAGGAGGTGTAAAAACTCAGAACAACTACAAATATGCAAACAAATACATACTAGAATTGAAACTTGATATATATTAAGAAGGAAGATAAACAAAAGGAGGTGAGAATATTAGAAGAGATTTCTTAGGGAAAATAATTATTACACTAGGCTTTGTAGATATCAGAAATTAGTGGCTAAAAGAAAACCTGGCCAGCATGCATGTTTCATTTGTCCAGAGAGTTTTTGTTTTCATTCTTTTTGCCTGCATACACATTCTTGTTACACACAGTCCTCTTTATTCTCTGCCACCAGATTTACTCCCACTTTTGATACTAGCTTCTAAAATCATTTGATTTTGTACCCTATGGAAGAAGGAAAATATGTCACAGGATTGTATGGATCAGCTGAGGAAAGTGGAGCATGGGGAGAAGATAGATTTTTAGGCTGCACAGAGCAGCTGCCTGGAAAGTGGTCCAGCTTATAATTTTGAAATTTTTCTTATCACAATGGAATGCAGAAAAAACATTCAGAAAACATTGATCGCTATAGCCTGGCAGAGCTAAGCATAAGGCCAAATGTCTCTCATAATTGCCTACCTTTTTGATATGGCAGTATTGAAATTTTATATATATATATATATAATATATATATATATATATATATAATATATATATATCCAATTGGATATATATATATCCAATTTATCCCCAAATTCTTTACCTTAAGTGATATCCAAGACCCCATCTTTTCTTCAAAAAGATAGAAGAGCCTGCACACTTCAGTCTCCCATTGGACATGATTACTTTTCTATCTGAGTGAAAAAAAGCAAGAGAAAAGGGGTGACAGGAGTCATTTCTTCCCTCTCTAGAAAATATCAATGAGGAGCCAAAGCTCCAGTTCCCAGAGGAGAAGTGTTCTATGGGGCATTGCTTTATCTAATGTCTATCTGAAAGTTTGAAATGCACATTAAAATTGATGCATTTAAAATGAACTTATGACCTCCAGCTCATTTCAGTGTCCTCCAAACCTTTATTAAAAAAAAGAAAGAAAAAAACCCAGAAATTACATGGCACATTTTTTATTCTTAATGGGATGTGAAAAAACGAGTGGATATTTTGTAACCAAACATATATTAAAGCATATTTGAATGTTTAAGTTAATCAAAAGCTGATCTGAAAAAAATCACAGGTGTTTGTGAGTGGTCAAAATCTAGCAACTGTACAGTCAGCAAGGAATTCTACACTGAGACTAGGCTGCTGATATCCCTCAGACTGGTACATAATATAAGCATATCACGGCAATGAGAGCAGGGCTCTTGCCCTGAGAATAATATTTCCCAAATTCTGTCTTGTGATATTGAGATAGAATCAACAATTACCAGCCAGGATGTCAGCCTCATCTACGAGGTTGGTACTCAGGAGGATCACACGGCCTGCTTTGCGTTCCTTGAGGAAGCTCCAAACTCGATACCTTGCAAAGGGATCCAAGCCAGCTGTTGGTTCATCTAATAGCAAAACCTACAGAGGATGGTGATATATAAAATATGCCTTGCTCCAGGATCAGCTGTTTCCTGAGGATAGCATGGATGACAATAAACCCCCCCCAAACAGTAACTATCCAACCATTTCCATCCAATATACTTACTTTCACAGTTACACAGAGCAGGTTCTCTCTCGATTCATGACAACGAAAGCTCTGCTACTATTAGTGAGAGAGAGCAGCCTGGCTTCGTATTGCTATTCCACCCACATTCCTCCACGTGCGTAATGGCACTTACTTGAGGATCTCCTAAAATGGCAATTCCGAAGGTCAGCTTTCTTTTCTGTCCTTCACTTAAATGTTCAGCAGGGTGATCCTGAATGTTTTGCATGTTCAGCTCCGATAAAATTCTTTGTACCTATAGAACATATACAAAGCTTAAAATCCAAGATGACTCATATTTTACAATTTTAACAGGTCAGTACAACAGGAGGTGTTTTCAATAGGATCTCGATGCCTGAATTTTACTTGTAACAGGAAAGGTAAATACTGAGGGGAATTCTGTGGCCCTGACTTTACTTGACAAAAGGTTGGCAGTTTAATGAATCCAACCATCTACCTCTTGATCCACTTCCTGTGGGTGAATCCCTTTAATCTTGGCAAACAGCCTGAGGTTTTCCTTCACAGTAAGTATGTCAAAGTGAACATTGAATTGAGGACAAAAGCCAATTATCTTTCTGATTTCCTCCAAGTCTTGCATTTCAGAGAGATTTTTGTTGTAGATGGTAACTGATCCTGAAAATAGAAGGGAAAAGTAGTTTAACATTGGCAACATAATACATTTTATTGATGCTTAGAGATCTTATTTGTGGAAATAATTGCATATATAAACATCTAAAATGATGACTTGATAATTTGCTAACAAGTACTAATTATTCTTAACACAAATTTATGCTCAGAGTAGTGTGTATTCCCACTGAAATGTACCATATCAGTGTAATAAAGATAATAATTTTCAAAACAATTTGGGAAATAGATTTAAAATCATATAGTTCTGATAAAATACTTTAGATAAACAAATATTATTTTCTCTTAAGCAGTTAAATAAAAATCCAAAAATGAGAAAGGGTATATATGATCTCATTCTATTATCAGACATCTTTCCTTTGAGAAGTTGTTTTTTCTTTTTGTTCTTGTTTTTTTATGGGTTTTTTTTTTTGCTCACCTTCTGTTGGAACAGACAACCCATTAAGGATGTTTAGTAATGAAGACTTGCCAGCTCCACTGTGACCCAGAATTGCTGTGATTTGACCTTCATATACATCAAAGAGCAAGTCTGTTTTTAAAATAAAAATATCAACATTTAAGAGAACATTAGATAGGCCTGTTTCCAAAGACAGAATAAGAGATGTATACACTTTCATATTCATATATGCACTTGCATGTACACTGGAAGTAAGTGTAGTGTGAATATTTGGAATTAGAGTTAATTTTATCTTCTTCTCACTCCAAACAAGAAGAAATCCTTGCAGAAGTTGAAGATGTTTAGACATAAAAGCCCATGGTTATTGATGAGTTAGAAAGTAGCTCATAATGTGCTCTGGAAATTAAAATAATAAATTTAAAAATACCTCAATAGATCCTTGACTAAAATTAAAGAAAGAAACCACAGATCTACATGCTGCTTGAGAAAAACCTGGAGTGAAAATAAACTTGCTGATACAATTACATTAAATGCTCAAAGTAAGATCTAATCTCAAAGGAATAACTAAGATGAGTTAAGAGGTGCAACATTTGCTAGAAAATAAACACAATATAAACACAAAGGACAGAAGTCTCAACCTTCAGGAGGATATATAGCTCACTTAAATATTTGTTATAGAAAGCTATATTAATTGGAATATTTACTATCAGATATGTTGGTTCATTCAAAACTATAAACTATGTTTGTTATGGATATTGACTTGTGAAATGCAATTCATGCACAATGGTGTTACTCACCTTGTTTTAGTTAATCTTGCCAGTATGTGTAAACTGTGGGATTTTCTAGCTAGTAAATATTTATCAATTTTAAGTTTAAATGTTCTTTCCTCATAGTGCAAATAAAATATTTGTTAGAGCAAATTCATCTTAAAAATCAAAGTGAAATTGCATTTTTTCACTGTACATTCTTGTTTTGGGTGATTAACAGATCCATGAAGCATCCAAAAGGATTTTACATCCAGTTTTTAATCATGGCTAATTTCTACATGATGGAGTTAGATTGTACATTTTTTTTACTTCTTTCTGTTTTGCTTATCTATATTTTCTATTTTTCATATTGAAATTTCCCCATTTTTTGAAATAAAGAAGTCAATAAAACAAATGTTTTTCTTTACCTTTCAATACTTCCACTTTTCCAGACTTTTCTTTATATTCTTTTCTGACATTTATGATTCTGAAATGACAAAAGGGAATGCTCAATGAGACAATGCAGAAATGAAAGTGGGGCAGATCATGAACAGCCCTGGAGAGAGGCAGCCAACCACTCTGTGTGAAATAATTGATGGCCACCACCGGTGTCCTCAGGGAGACAAAGACTTATTTTTGATAAATCATTTCTCCTGAAATAGACAATAGCATTCTCTTTAGAAAGTTATGATCTGTAATCATCCTCACTTTCTTTCCTGAGTCTTAGAACATTGGGTGTTTCCCCCTCTTCAAGATTAGTGCCTTTATCTGTATTCTGTAACCATCATCTCCCAAGCCCTCTGTCCTCTGAATTTTCCTCTCTGATAACTTGTTTGGCTAGTAAATCTGCTTGAGATATGGTCAAATTTCTCTCTCTCCTAATCTTAAAAACATTCTCAGAATAAAAGTGTGAATTTGACATCTCCACTTCCTCACTTCCTCATCAATTAACTGTGCTCTGGCTTATGAACCCACAACCCTAGTGATCCTCTTAATACTGAAATCATCAGTGGCCTCCTAATCCCTAAATGCAACAAATACTTTTCCATCCTTATTTATTGGGTTATGGGTTACCACTGATGACTTTCTCTTTGTTAAAAGTGTCTATTTTCAAGGTTTAAAAAATTCCATTTTATTGGTTTTCTTATGATTTTTCTAAATGTTCCTTCTCTGTTTCTCTATAAGGTTCTCTTCTTTCATATGACAAATCATCTTGGTGTTCCACAGTGTTCTCTTTGTACATTATGGTTCACCTCACTCTAGACTCTGCCAATGGATATCTCATTGATTCTCATGGTTTCAACAGCAACCTAATGTTGACCGTATCCTTGGCTCTGAGATTTGGTTCACATATGTAAAGGTTTGCTGGATTTCTTCATACAAATTTCACACACGTGCACGCACACACGCACCTCTAGATCAGTGCTTGTTGAACTTAAATGCACCTTGGAATTCCAAAGGGAACTGCTGCAGAACAAGGCAGGAGCCAGGTTCAGAGAGAATAGAAATATCATGGCTACATAAGACCATGTACAATGCATCTTCAAGTTCAAAAGGAAACAGAATTCAGTCACCCTCTTTGCTGAGCATGAATGAGAATAAAGGTAAGGACACTTATTCAACCAGGATGCTGGTGGTGGGTGGGGTTACACCAAAGAGTCTGGAAACTTAAAAGGAAAAGGCTTAAAGGGTGCTGATTCTGACAGGGTATTTTATTTCTGCCATTCTTCATGTAGCATGGCATCCATTGAAATGGGCCTTTAGTGTTTTATTTTAAAAATAAATTTCCAATTAGGAGCAGCTGGTCATTTTCAGAGATAAAGGTAACCATTTATGTTTGGGGCAGAAGTTCCACCTGTGTACTGGGAATGTTACATGAATGGTCTTATAGGAATGGGAAGATGTGCATACAAATACCCCAGAGAAGAAGGAAAATTGGGGGATGGAGGGTTATGGGTAAGAGGGAGCAAGTTGTGAATACAAAGTAGATATTTTTGCAGAACAAAGATCTTGATTCTGGTTAGAACTCTGGAAGATTTTCTCCATACTTCCAGATACATATAGCTAAGGGCTCCTAAGGAAAAAGGAAGAGTTCATTAGTATGTAAAACAGAGACTGTCTGGGAAAAGGGGAATTAATATCTTAGTACCTTCCATATCCACACAAATCAAGTTCAAATGTTGAGACTGATTGGGATAAGTTTAACACTTGTCTAGTGGTGGGGAAGAATGACCACATTTCTAAGAAAGGGTTACAATAAAGAGAGATAAGACTTATGGACTGGCATCAAACAGCATCTAATATTGGGAGGTAAAGGGCAATTTTAGGCTACCTTGCAGCTCCAAAACCTGTTTCAAAAGAAACTGAGTGTATAGACACTGTCACAAAAGAGCTGTAAGTTGAGCACCTAAGCCTACATACATTGCTACTTTGGGGTGGATCTGGGGTGATGTACCCCACAATGGAGCCAAAAACTATAATGAATAAGCCTTGGATCAGACAACTTCCCTGATTTGTCAGTGACCTCAGACCTTTTCTTTCATGTAGAATCCAGAGAAAGAGACAAGGATGTCCAGGGTCACCCACTGCAGAGGCCAGTCAGGGTTGAGGGCAGGGGGTGGGGTGGGGGGGAAGAGGACAGGCTGCAGGGGTGAAGACATTTCACGTTTCTGTCCTTCACAAAGTAAAACAAAGAACATTATCAATTTGTGTGGCTAACTAATCTTAAGACTCTCTTATGAGATTGGACCTGAAAAGTATTATAGTTTGAACAGTAATATAATTTGTGTGTGTGTGTGTGTGTGTGTGTGTGTGTGTGTTGTCAACTGAGGAAGAGGGACTGATGACATTGAAATAGGGTTTGGGGGAATTATTCCTCACTTAGCCTTTCTCTATTGGACAGATAATTTCCATGGATTCAGGAGGGGTTGCCCTCAGGAAGCTTAACAAAAAGTAGGGCCAGAATTAGAAGGAAGAAGCTGAGGTACATGAATTCTCCTTCTGCTCTGTTGCAGAGAGAAAAATTTCACTTCCTAGCTATAGTTCCATTTTACTCATCTTCCTTTGCCTACCTATATCTCTACAGTAGCCAGAGGCTAAGAGCATAGGTTCAGGAGCTAGATTGGCTGCCAATCCTAGCCTCCTATTTATGAGTGGGTGGCATTGGGCAAGAAACTTCACTTTTCGGTACATCATTTTTCTCATTTTTAGATGGGCAATATAAAAGTGCCTGCCTCATGAGCTTTCTGAGAAAATTAACTGTGTATCTCGAACATGGTAAGCATTATATGAATATCTGTTAAATAACTAAAAGGTTAATATTTAAAACTCTAATTCTTTAAGTTTAGTGCATATTAGAAAAATCTATAGGGCTCTTTAGAATCCACAGGTACTTGGGTTCAAACCCACACCTCCCGAGTTAGAATCATTGGAGGTGGGGGTCGGAGAGCGCAGACATTTTAAAAGCTGCTCATATGAATCTGTAACAAACAACTCTACAGAGTAAACATTACCCTTCTTTCCTAGAGGACACTGAAAGTCAAAGAAACTTACTTGTTTTTTCAAGATTATACATCAAATAGGAGGGACATGTGGTATTAAGATATAAAATTGTGACTTCAAATTTCTTACTTCTTCCATCATACCATATAAGCCAGATGAAACTATGGAAGAAGAAGTTCAGAGAAAGAAAAGAGCAACTATAGAAGAGAGGTGAGGGACAAGAGACAGAAACAGGGAAGAAAACAAGATGGAGGGTGATGTGCTAACAGTATGTGAAGCTAAGCAAAGAGAATTTTCTTGTCAAGTAACAGTTAGGAGACTGTGGTGATGACGGCAGCAGGAGAGTTCAAAGCGATGGTCACAAAAACAAATTTCTTCTGTATTTTGCCTCAGGCTCACTCTCTTGCTATTGGTTAATAATTCATTATCCTTGCACCCATGTATTACTCTAAGTGTGATTACCTGATGGCCTCTTTTCCATGGAATTCTGGAGCTATTGGTTCAAAATAATCATCAGAGGGATACTCGGGATCAATTTCTTTCTCAATGATGTTATCAGTCCTTTGGTATTGGAAGCAAGAGGATGAGCTCAGGAAAAATAATGGAGAATAACGGTGGTCACTTCCATCTAATTAATCAAGAGACAATAAAATATTGGATCAGTAATCAACAATGTTCAAAATATTGCAGAATGTCTTAGGCTTTTAAATATCAAAGAGAGAGTCTTTTCTACCTTCCTGTTACTTAGAGTATTCTCAAGAAAGCTTGATAATTACATAAGAAGCGAAAATTTAAAGGAGATAACATACTATCACAAAAGTTAAACAATAGAACTTTCAACAAAGTATAAATCCAAGGTTTGAATAAAATGTGGTCTAAAAGGTATTCAGGACAATAAAACCAAATATGTGGGGGGAAAGCTTTAATATGGCATAAATAACTGTAAACATATTGGTGACCTTAATCAATTGACCACAGCAATATGACTGAACATAATACTGAAGTATATATGGCACATGAATTAAAAGTACATGGAGCAACTTTATTTGTTCAGGATGAATATATGGTTATTTTCTAAAAAATGAAGTAGTAAAAAAAATGAAATGAATTTGCTATTAAGGGCCTTCAGATATAAACCAGAAGTGATAGAAAGACAGGTATACATAGAAACAACCTTAACTACAGTCAAAATGGAAGGAACATAAAAAATAAAAAGGCAAGAAGATTGTACAAGGAAATTGTACAATTTCAAATTCAAATGCCTTTGAAAGGCATTCGGATTCCAGTGTATGTGAGGGAATTCTGGGCCTATTTGAAATTTTTGGCTGTTTGGAAGATAAAGAAAATCTGTCTGGGTGTACTTCTGTAAACACAAACAGTATAAGAAAACTTTTCAGAATAATGCTGAAAATGTTCTCTCTAATCTTCATTTTGTGATTTCCTTAAAGGAAGGATAACTCCCCTTCTGAAATGGTCTTCCCACAAACACTGGGGAGTGAGGAAACCTGATCATTTCACATCTGAGGTTCTTTGGAGTGGTATTTAGTTTACAAGCCCCATGATTTTGTCAGGAAAACATTTACCAGAAAGTACTTCACTACATTATGGCCCTGTACTGAATGAGCCAAAACCATCTAAGTTATTCCAGCTCATCTGGATACTAATCTGAAATATCATTCTTTGAAAACTCTTTAGGAAATCCTTGAAAAAAGTGACACTATTTAATACTATATAATTATAACATGTATTAAAATGATCATTATTGTATATTTATAATGTGTATCATGTTAAAGTGAGAAGAATGATTGTTTTTACATAAACATATTTTTCAGACCATTAAAACTGTGAAATAGAAATAAAGAACTGATTCAGCCTGTGATGGGAAATACTTGTTAGTCATCATTTAAAAAAATATATTTATATAACCTTAAGGAAAAAATCTTTAATATGGTGAATATTTGTAGAGATCAGAGAAAAATCCACTATTACTTACATGGGAAGATTTTGTCAAAGTATAATGCCAATACAAAGTACAAAAAGGCATCAAAAGCCAATATGAAAAAAGTTGCTATCATTAAATATGAGTCTCCTGATGGGTCAGGAAAAGTTACACCATTCATACTATAATCCAGGTTGATAATCTAAGATTCAAACAAAAATAATAATAAATACTTAAATTAAATAAATAAAAATGCACTATAGCAGCAAAGATTATCACTTTATTAAATAGCTTTTTCAAGAAGCCCTTTTATGAAGTTATTAAGAAACTACTCTTATTTTATAGCAATCAAAGAAATATTGGGAGAAAATACCAATTTTTAAGACATGCAATGTTTTAAGAATGGTAATTTAAATTATAATTCATTTGTTTGGTTTCATTGTGGTATTACAAAATATTTACCCTATGCAACAAATAAATATAAATTTTAGAAAAAACATAGAGATTTCTTTGAAGTATCTTATTAGAATACTGATGAAAGAACTTACCTCTTTTTCTAGTCATTACTGCAAATACAGATTTATATTTATAATTATTTATGTAATAATAGCTACTATGTTCTAGACACTGTTCTAAGTACTTTTTATGTTATCCCATTTAATCTTCATCATAACCCTATAATGTAGGCCTTATTATTTTCTTCTGCATTTTACATAAGATAAAGAAGAAATTGGGTGACTTAACTGGATGAAGTCAAAAATCACATAGTGTGGCGTGGCAAAGCTAAATCATACAGTAAGCCCAGCTTTTGAACTCAGTGCCTTAACTAGACACTGTGCAACTTCTCCATTTATGTTAAAATATTAATTAACACTTAATGAAAAAGTTGACTTTATTCTAAAAATGCAAGATTGATTTGGCATTTAAAGTTCAATCAATGTAATTCAACATAAAACAGATTAGAATAGAAAATAATGTCAACCTAATAGATACTGAAAAAAAGCACTTGATAAAATTCAATATCTGCTTATATTAAAGAAAGTCTCCTTATAAACTAAGATGAGAGATCTTCCTTAACCTGGTGAATTACCACACTAAGGAAAACCAACACCAAAAATAATGCTTAATTGAGAAATGTTGAAAGCTTTTCCTTTGTCTGCATTTCTATTCAACATCGTACTAGAGGTCCTGATCTGTGCATTAAGGCAAGAAAAAGAAATGACTGACAGAAGGACTGCAAAAGAAAAAAAACAAACCATCATTATTTGTAGACAACATGATTATACATAAGAAAGTCCCCAGATAAAACCATGAAAATACTCATTTTAATAAAAGAATACAGCAAGAATACTGGACACAGTGCTAATGTACCCAAAATCAGTTGCATTTCTCTGCATCAACAACACACATTTAGCAATAAGAACTTAAACATAGATGCTATTTCTAATGGCATCAAACATATCAAATACTTTGAAATAAATCAAACAAAAATGTGCAAGACTATACTAAAAGCAAAACAATTACTATGGGAAAATTCATATGAAGATATGTTTGAAAAGTGTGAATTTTCTCCAAATTGAAAAATTCAACTGTAACAAAATCTCACCACCTTTCTACATACATAGTGTTTGTGTATAACTTGATAAGTCAATGATGTAACAATGATAAGTTACATTGCAAAGAACCTAGAATAGAAAAGAGTCTCTCAAAAAAGGAAATACAGTGGTTGAATTGTTGCTACCAAATAGCAAGACATATAAAGCAAAACCATTAAGAAAATGTGACAACAATGCAAAGATAAATGTACAGGCCAATGCATGATTGGTTGAGTTGTAAATGGGCCAATACATGATTGGTTGAGCTGTAACAAAAGAAACACTGCAATTCATTTGGGAAAAGAATGGTCCCTTTAATAAATGGAGCTAAAGCAACTGGATTTTCACATACAAAAAATTAATGTGGCCCCTACCTACAGGTTCACAAAAGTTATTTTGAAAAAATTTTTATATCTGTATATAAAAGCAGAATCAATCAAGCTTCCAGAATGAAAAGGTAGTAGAAGAATATCTTTGTGATGTTGGGGCAGGCAATAATTTCTTAAACAGACACAAAATTACTCTATATAAAAGAAAAACTCGACCCAGTGGACATCATCAAAATGATGCTTCTGTTCATTACACAAAAGCACCAGTAAGAGAGTAAAAATGTCAGCAAGAAATAATTGCAAAATGTCACATATTCAGCATATATAAGAAATTCATATATAACATAAGGGCCCCGGCTGGCATAGCTCAGTGGATTGAGTGCAGGCTGTGAACCAATGTGCGGTTGCACAGGTTCGATTCCCAGTCAGGGTACATGCCTGGGTTGCAGGACATGAACCCCAGCAACCGCACATTGATGTTTCTCTCTCTCTCTCTATCTCCCTCCCTTCCCTCTCTAAAAATAAATAAATAAAATCTTTAAAAAAAGAAATTCATATATAGCATAAGGAAAAGATAGAAACTTAGCAAAATATGGCAAAAAGGCTTGAGTCAGGAATTTATAAAACAGAAAATCCAAAAATATAACAATAAATAGAGGAATACAAATTAATTCCATGATGATATATCATAACATTTCCACCAGAATAGCTAAAATTTGAAAGACTGACAATACCAAATGTTGGTGAAGATTTGGAGCAACTGAAACTCTGAAACACTATTGGTGCAAAAGTAAACTGATGATGCCACTTTGAAAAACATTTGACAATAGCTGTAAAGATTAATATATACAAACTCTAGTTCCTACTATTCAGCTCCTAGAGATATATGAAACAGAAATGAATGCCCACATTTACTAGGCAATATGCATAAGAATTTTTTGCAATTATTAATAATAGTCAAAAACTGGAAAATATTCTTGTCCATCAATATGAAAATCAATAGTATATTCACACAATGGAATACTACACAACACTATACCACTATAACTACACACAAACTGTGGATGACCTCTCAAGACAGTGTTGAGTGAAAAAAAAAGCCAGATTTTCTAAAATATCCTTTGTACAATATCAAAGTGAAAAATAGGCAAAACCAAAAAAATTACACTTCAGAACACTAACTTAGGCGATAATAAAAAGCAAGAAAGTAATGATCATACAACTGACCTCTAAGAGGAAGTAGTGTTGAGAGGAGCCCTGGGGGTAAGGCAACATTTTGTCTCTTAACCTACTTCATGTATCTTTTGGTGTATTTTATAATTTTTGGTTAAGCTCCATATTTATGCCTCAAAAGCTTGTCATATTTCAGGTTTCAAAAAAGATTTACCAAGAAACCTTAATCATCTAGCTTTACGTGAAAAGAGAAAAATTGTGTGTGTAGAAATAAAACTAGAAGAAAATACCTCAAAATAAAAAATTATATCTGAGATGTGAAAATTTGAAACATTTTCTTATTCAAGTTTCCTTGTGAGATGACCATTTTTCTACAATGTAATAGTAACATTTTCATATTTAGCTTTAGAGTAGACTTGTTTGGAACAAAAGCTCTTAATCTGAAAGTGCTGATGATGAAGAGTCATGAAGTATCCATCAAATTCTTTTGAAAATTCAATACTAAATCAATGAACTATTCTCTCACCTGGGTCATTCCAGTAGTGAAGGCAAAAGGGCTAAAAATACTCAAAATCCACTCCAAAGATGAAGGAAGATGTTTATAAAGCACAGAGAGTCCCACACTGCCCCAAAAGAGAGTGAAGAAAAACACAACCAGACTTGTGAGGACGGTTTTGTTGAGGAGCACACTTATCAGGAAGGCTAGAGCGATCTGAAAGAGAGAGAAGACAGGTTACACAGACTTAGGTCATCAAGAATCACTGGCAGTGCAATTGAATAGGGATCCTGACATTTTTATGAGTGAGTCAGTGATGAAAATATTAGGGTATAATTATGTTCAGTCCTTCTCTCAACCCTTGTATAAACAGCATCCCTGTTTACCATTTTCAAGTGTTGGGCATTTGTTGCTGAGTAAAGGGTTGGGGGAGGCTGGAAGAATTGCTGAGGAAAGGGTGGAAATGCAGACTTGAAAAGATTGAAAGAAATTAAAGGATTAAAGAGCATCTACATAACCTTCTGCAGAAAACACCCTGAAATGTGGGAGAAAATAGAGGCTCCCTTCTCTTTGTTCAGAGAAGGGAGAGGAGTGTGGTGAGAAGTCAGGGTAAGGTGGGGGACACTAGAGGGAGAAGACTTGTGTAGGGAAAGTTTGGGGAAAAAAGATAGGTTCGCTCCTCAAGGCATCCTCATTAACCATCTACAAATGTCTTAGATAATTTCGAGTCAAGATAATTTTCTTCTTTTTGATGCACCACTTTATTAGTTCAGATTTTATCTAAAAGAGAGGCCCAGCTTTACTTAGGTTACATCATTTTCTCACACTCAGAGACTTTGTCAAATGTGCACACCCAAAATGGACATGAAAGAAATGACTTCAGTAGCCTGCTGATATCCTTTTTGCTGCATATGGCTGAGACCTAACACAGAGAAAATGATCACCATTGCAGGAACTTACCAAGGATAAGCCATATAAGAAAAAGAGTGTAAATATGACCATGAAGCCTGTCATGACTATAATTTTGGTAGAAGTTATGATAATGGCAATGATTATGGAAATAATGAAGATGAAGCCAGCATAGATTAAACTCCAGGAGAACCTAAAGACAAAAAGTTATTGCAATTAATTTTATTATGAAATACTGAAAACACAAGATATCTAAAGGATAATGTAATGATTGCCCCTGTACCTGCCATCTAGATTAATAATTAAAATATTAGTAGTACATTGGCATGGCTGTGCCTACTGGCTAGGTGCCAGCTCTGTATTCACATACTGTATAAAAAGTACAAACACTGTAATAAATAGTATCAGCTCATATGAATTGTTCCACAACTTGCCTTTATCAATCAACATGTACAGTAGCATACACTGCTACATAATATTTCATTGTAGGAATATATCCCAAAGTGCTGCCCATACATATTTTGGTTGTTTCTTTTTCTAACACAGTATTTCTAAGAGCATTCTTATACTTGTCTTTTTGCAGGAGAATGCACAATTTCTCTTGGGTAAAATTGCTGAATTAAAGGAATAAGCATTTTGTTTCTTCAGCTTTATTGATTACCAAAGTGTTCTAATTATAGAATTGGATGGAAACTTAACACTGATAATCAACTAGGTCATCATGGAAGCGTGACGGGAAGAGGATAACTTGGCCACTCTTGAAGACCTCAGCCAGCAGCACCCCCACCCTCCCTACCAGAAGAAAATTGAAATTTCATCTCCACTAAGCCCATTTCATTCTTGCCACTCCTATTCATAATTTCTTTATTTAAACTGATATAAATTATGGTACAACTTAAGAGTCCACACTGTTTTGCTTTAGATATGCTGGTGGTCACATTTTTATGAGCTTTTTATTAAGAAATAATATTCAGCCTTAGATCTAACAAGATTATAGGGTGTTTTAGTCCAAACTTCTCATTGTACAGTTGAGTAAACTTCAGTCCCTATTATTAGCTAATGGGCCTATTCAGGTCAACAGAATAAAACCATTTAATTATACTAAGATGAAACCACAGGCCTTTGCTCAGTCCGGAGCTCTTTCCTCTACATAAAATTGCCTAAGTGAGTAAGAATTCAACAGCTGAACACAATAGAAAAAGTATTAAAACTGAGAGCTGGCATAAATATGTCCCAGTAGAACATATTTATTGCTTATGTGACTTTTTGAGAATTTCAAGATTTATTTTTTAATTGAATATATTGTGTTGACATTGGTTAAGAAATTATATAGGTTTTGGTGTACAATTCTATAATACATCATCTGTATATTGTGTTGCGTGTTCACCACCCCAAGTCACGTCTCCTTCCATCACCATTGATCCCCCCTTTACCCTTGTCTACCTCTTCCCAGTCCCCTTTCCCTCTGGTAATCACCATCCTGTAGTCTGAGTCTATGAGGGGTTTTTTTTCTGCTTAGTCCCTTAAACTTTTTTACCCAACTCCTTAAACTCCCTTCCCTGGGACAGCTATCAGCCTGTTCTCTGCATCTATGAGTATATTTCCATTTTGTTTGTTAGTTTATTTTGTTCATTAGATTTTCATATAAGTGAAATCATATGGTACTTTTCTTTCTCTGACTGGCTTATTTCACTTAGCATAATATTCTCTAGGCACATCCATGCTGTCACCAAAGGTAAGAGTTCCTTCTTTTTTATGGCTGAGTAGTATTCCACTGTGTACATTTTTTTATACAATCATCTACTGATGGGCACTTGGGCTGCTTCTAAATGTTGGCTATTCTAAATAATACTGCAATGAATACAAAGGTGCATATATCCTTTTGAATCAGTGTTTTGGGTTTCCTTGGATATATTCCCAGAAGCAGCAACACTGGGTTATAAGGTAGTTCCATTTTGAGTTTTTTTGAGGAAATTCCATACTGTTTTCCTTAGTGGTTGCACCAATCTGCATTTTCACCAACAGTACACAAGAGTTCCCTTTTCTCCACATCCTTTTCAACATTAGTTGTTTGTTCATTTATTGATGATAGTCATTCTCATAGGTGGGAGGTGATATCTCCTTGTGGTTTAAATTTGCATTTTTCTGATAATTAGTGATGTTGAGCATCTTTTCATGTGTCTATTGGCTATCTGTATATCCTGTTTGGAGAAGTGTCTATTCAGGTCTTTTGCTCATTTTTTAATTGGCAAAAAAATAATTTCTTAGTTTAGTCTCATTTGTTTATTTTTTTTTGTTTGTGTGTCTTGCCCAAGTAGATATACCAGGAATGGCTATGAGACTTCTTTTTAAATTTCACATCTTTACAGTGATGCATTAGAAACAGCATTTTTTAAAAAGCATAATGCATCTGCAGAAGCCACTTCCTGAGAACATAGGGGAACTACAATAGATAGTAATTGAAAAACCACAGGGTAGGGAATTACAGACACAGGAAATTAAAACAATACCTACAAAAAGGAAGTCACTGAAGAGTTGGGATGGGGTGGGGGGAGATGTTACTAAACTCAAGAAAACCTTCTTATAGCAACAGAGAAATTCAGATGTCATACTTAAAGAATAAATCCTGATTACATTTTAAATTTATTACAAAAGAAGCCAAAACTTATTTGTAATAGTCATTCTGTGTTTAATTTTAAAAGTTTCAGAATCTTTTCCTTGTTAGTTTTAAGATATATATATATATATACATATCCTTAAATATATATATATTTTATATATTATATTCATTATATATTTAATATACATTAAATATATGTTGTAAATATACAAATACATATATGTATTTATGTATTTATGTTCATTGGCTAAATACTTGTATACAGGATTTGTGACTTTACAAATTGCCATTAATGCTGCTATTACAGAAGTAAGAAATATTATAATAAATACTGTAAGCTCATTCCAGAAGCATCAAGATTTTGATGAAAGGTGATATATACTCGGGTTTTTCCATGGTTACATATATATTCATCTTGCTAAGTTTTAGGTTCCATGCATACTGAGAAGCATTTATCCTAAGATGGGTCCACATCTAAATATCCAATGCCTTTCCAATTTTCATCTAGAGCTGACTTGGTCCCGCCTATTTCAGGTGACTGCAGAGATGCCGCCCGACAAGACAGGCGCTGGACCGAAGGAGGGTCTTTTCACACAGATCCCCTCTCTCTTCCCTCCCAGCAGACTCCACCCATTCTTTAGCACTTCCCAAAGTTCCACTACAAAAACACGCTTCTCCTTTTTCTTTTTTATTGAAAAACTCAGTTTCCTTTTTTGTGTATTTCACATTTCATATATGTCAGAATCAAAACTCTGTTAGTAAAACATAATTTATAGAAAATTTGAAATCTCTTGGACCACATTTTTATTTCAGGGAACATGTATCTGACAAAAGATTGTTCAATAAATAGTTCCTCATCTGTTCCAGAGAGCTCCATATCCCTACACAGTATTTTCCTGATACGAAGATTGTACAGAGAAATACCTCCCAGGTTTCAATATTGAAAAATACTAGGTTTCTTTGGGGATAAAAGTAATTATTTTTCTTTTTAAAATTTTATTTTAATTGTTATTGAAGTACAATTTTTCTAGAAAAGTAATTGATTCTTTTTCTTTTTCCTTTCCTTTCTTTTCTTTTACTAGACAGCATGGACTTTGTAACTGACTATATTGTAGAGTGCTCAGTTTTGGTGTCTTAGCATCTTCAAGCTACCAATCTTACTTATTAATTATTTTGCTAGGTCTTTGGCTTCTACTCCTCAATTATTTGTTTTTATTTTAATACAAACACACAGATACATATACACATGTATATTTCAAAATTTCATACTCACTTTAAACTATTCATGGAATAGGACAAAATATAAATATATCAATATATGAAGGAAGTGCACTTATTAAGCACTTCCTGTATGCCAGCCTACACACTGCATGTGCTGGGAACATTACGTAGGCTATCTCTTTTAAACCCCAACATCTGATATTTAGTTGCTCAAAAAAATGAAAAATCCCTGGTGACCAAATCCCTGAACACAAGCTAGCTATTAGATTATACTTTCTTCAACACAAGGGACTCTCCAGAAACCAAAGGGTAACTGTGGGCAGACCCAGCCGGGGAGCTGAAATCAGGGCTCCTGGGCTGCAGCCAGGCTCTGGCACTCATCAGTCACCTGACTCCGGGCAACTCTTGCCCTTTCTCTGGCGTGAACAGTAGTTTTGTAACAGTGTTAGCTTTCTGTACTCTGGCACGGAAAAAGTGCTCAGTGAAGTATAACTATTTTGCATGGAAAAATTTAAGAAAGGCTAAATCAAAAAGTCAGAACAAAAGAAAAAGTAGCCAATGTATTAAGTTTCCATCATGATGTTCTGGAACAGTAACGGCTTTTCACTGCTTCTTCATTTCTCTTATTCATCGCTACTATTTAAATCAGTCACTCACCAGAATGCTGAATCTTGGAGACCCATCATTGTCATCAAATCCTTACTCTTTTTTCTCTCTTTTGTAACACTGAGTGATGCAAAATATGTAAATGAGGAGAAGTAAAGCAAGCAGTAGAAAATAAACATCTCATTTTGAAGGACGTCTTTAGCAATAAAAGGTAATGTCTTCATATTTGTAACAGTAACTGACATCAACTCTTCCATCACAGAGTGATTTGTCATGATCTAAAAGTGTTTAAACAAACAAAATCATTATTCAAAGTAGAGAAACTGGTGAAATCAATAAGCTGTGGGGATTGTACCAAAGTCTATTTCCTGGTTTTTAAATTGTCCATTGGAAATGTAAGCTATTTCCACTTGGAGAAACCAGGTGAAGGGCAAGCAGACCACCCTGGACCTTGTTTTTGCAACCTCCTCTCATTCTATAACTACTGGAAAGTTTAGTTAAAAAAAAGCAATGTGTTCCTTTGCCTAAATCCCATTTCAGTGCTTGCATACCTGCTTCATTATATAACCATGGGAAAACCTGAGTATATATCACCTCTCATCAAAATCTTGATGCTTCTGGAATGAAGTATTTATTAGAACTTTTCTTACTTCTATAATAGCAGCATTAATTGCAGTTTGTAAAGCCACAAATCCCGTATACAAGTATTTGGCCAAGGTACATGTTGAGTGGTGACTCGACTTCCAGCAATGAGCTGTAAAGCACAAAGGAGAGCAGGGTCAACATTATGGGGTGAGGGCACTTGGAGAAGAAGAAATAGGAATCCAAGAGAAAACAATCTAGAGGGGACTGCACCAGTCAGAACCTTTAACCACATAGAAAAAAAGAAGCAAAGCAAAGTTCATAATGAGGCAACTCTGTTCATGGAAACCACAGCATGCATAGGGAGGCTTGGGGAGAGAGAAAAAAAAGTAAGCTCACTGGACTCCTCCCTCTGCCTGAAAAGGCTAAATGCACTCCAGTGCTAGAACGTCTTTCATGCTCAAATGCTCTCCCTCCAGAGGCACTCATGGCTCACTCCTTTCCTCCATCCTGATCTCTTCTCAAAAGTAAACTCATTATAGAGGTCTTTCCAGGCCACCATAAATAAAAATATCTAAAATAGTGCTTTCAGTCTCTGTCTTATATCCCTGCTTTCTTTTACTTTGTTGCTTTATTACCACCTAGCAGTGACCATTGTTTTTTTTTTTTTTCACTCCCTGTCCCTGACTGTTACGATTCTTACTAGCAGGCTTTACATTTTGTTCACTTCAATCTTCAAGGCCACGAAAAATGTGGAACACATAGTAGGCCCTCAGTGAAGGAATGGGGAAAAAGCCAATTCCATTAGTCACTTCCATTCTGCTTCCTAAGGGGTCCTCCAAGCTCTTTACATCCTGCTATGCTGCCTCTACTCTGGTCTAAGCTACCGTCAGCTCACTGGTAGGTTTTATGGCATTCTCCCTGACTCCGCTGCAATCCACTCTCGAGGCTGTATCCAGACTGTATCCAGATTGTACCTGAGGCTTGGAAATCCAATCATGCCTCTGCCCTGATTAAAGTGCCCAGGTGGCTCTCCATTGCCCTGAGACTAAAGGATGCTACAGGACCTAGGCCTGAGTACCTTCAGCCTCATTCTCCCATCACATTCCTTTTTGTGTTCTTCATTCACTTACACTGCTTTTCTTTCAGTCACATTAGCAGATGTCCTTTGTCACCTCAGAGCCTCACACTTGCCCTTCTATGTGAAACACAGTGCCCCTAGCACCTCACACGTGCTGTTCCTTCTGACATTAGTTGAAACATCACTCCTCCAGATAGCACTTCTCTATTCCCAAGCATATTAAGAACTCTTGGTCCAAGTCCCTTTAAGGACTTTGCCTGCTCTTGCACTTATCATTACTGTACCTGCTCATACATGTCTGTACTGCTAGACTGGGACCCATCACTCTCCATCACCCTCCACGTCCTTCACAGCACACCTGTGAGCACCCTGTATATGTATGGATATATACACACATTCATACTAGCAAGTTCTGCATTTTGTTCACTTCAGTTTTCAAGGCCAAGAGAAATATCGAACACCTAGGAGACCCTTGGTATATGTGTGCATATAGAAGTTGGATAACTCATGATCTTTTGATCATCATCCTTTAGCTGCATATCATGACTGACCTTGGAAAAATTTAGCAATAAAATGTGCTTTTAAGTTGAAAGCTGCTCTGTTGGCCACCCCCACCCCTTCTTTATGCTAAAAGCATGAAAAATCCCATGATGATATTTTAGATGGAAAATCACCTGAGAAATGGTCTTCCTTCAAAAATGGAATGCCATGTCCCTGAAAAAATTTCAACTTATAAAATAAAGTATCACTAAAGATGATTCCCGCTCCGTCTAGGATATTGTCTAGAAGTATTTTATCCATAGAACTTTGATTCGATACCCCAATGATTGTAGCTCCTGTGAATTACAAAATAAAAATAGGTGTAAAAGATTGTTAGAATTTCACCCAAAAAGAACATGATAGTCAACTATGTCATCATACTGTTTTCATTAGAATTAAAATAAAATCCTTTCCCCTTAAATAAAACTTATCTCAAAAGGCAAAGGGGAAATTTTTATTTTAATGTTTTAAGTTCTAAAGTCAGGAGACATGCTTGAGAATTAAGTACTTTCTTTTAATAATAAGTCTTAGGGCAAGTTTAGGCACATAAAAATGTTATGCCAGAATAAGTATGCATAAGAAGTCCGAGTTACTGGGTAGGATAGGGGAGAGTAATGGGGAGAAAATGGGGACAAATGTAATTGCAGAACAATTAAATAAATACATAAATAAATAAAAGAAATGAAAACTTAAAAAAAAGAAAGAAATCAAAGTTACTACAGTAAAAACATCTCATGATCTTTGCCTTACGCAGGAACCAAGAGCACAAAGTGACGCTATACCTCACGAGCAGTGACTTCACTCGTTAAAAATGGAGAGTTCGAAAGCAGGCAGCCCAACTGCACCCGGCTCACCCGTGAATGAAAGACACTCTTTGGTTATCTCGGGTATGGGTATACGGTAACCTTCTTTGGAATGAAGCCTCTTAAAAATGTTTACAAATTGCACCAAGCATGGATTATCTTTATGGCTTTATGTTTATTTTTTATTGTTATTCAATTATAGTTGTTCCCACTCCCCCCCCCACTCCCACATTATTCTCCCCCTGCCCTAGCCAACCCCCTCCTTCCTCTTTCAGTCCTCCTCCCAGTTGTCTTTGTCCATGGGTCCTTTATGCATGTTCCTTGACTTAGATTATCCGTCCTCGCTTTTCACAGTTTCAAAAGTATTGTTTAACATAACCATGACCTAATTTCCTTTATTTAGATTTTCCCCCTGAGTTATAAATCTTAACCATTGTATTTCTGTGCTAAAAACACTCACATTCATCAATGGCGTATTCTTCCCAGACACTATTCTGCAAATCTGGAATTACAAATCTATTGTTTTAGTTAAATGTTAATAGAAATGTAGGTCTCCATAAATTGGAATCCCATCAAGCTGAAAAGTGGTTCAATGGGCTAATTGTTGTTAGAGAAAGAAAAAAATTAACCAATGTCTATGCTATTTTTAATGCCTAAATAATCAGCATAATGGGTTGCTGTAACTTTAAATTAAGCATATATACATCTTATAAAAATATAAAATGATATCAGTAATTTTTGTCATGAGTACATTTACCTTTAAATATAGAGGCCGTTTTATTCATTATCTGCTCGGTTCTATTGGAGACTGGCATATACACAAGTGTGTAAGTGTCATTAAATTTATCTATCCTTCCCAGCTCCTCAGGAGGCTTTTCAGGAAACTGGGTACTTTCTTTAAAATATGCAAATAAGCTCATATATAGTCCTAGAAGCATTGGGAGCCCCCATTCCTATAACACAGAGAGAAAAAAAGAACAAATTTAGATTACGGTCCTTTAAAGAGCTCAATTGGCACCAGAGAATTAAAGACAAATTCCAGTTTCGCCATAGTGTTGGTTTCTCTTTGCTCTCCTTCAGAACGAAAGGAACCCAGTGAAAGACATACACCGAGACTGTTGCCACATACACCATACTCGAATATTAGAACCACACTTTTCCATTAGATCATGAACTCATGTAGAGGCCATCTGATAAACTAATAGGATGACAATGTCCGTATGCATGAGCCTCTGATTCTAAAGTCTATGAGACACAGATTATCCCAGCTAGAGTTCCTGGTGACAAATGACGCTATTCTGGTCATATATCCTTGTGCTGGAAATCAAAGAAAATGGAAAGTTGCTGAATGGTACAGACTGTCTAGTGTTTCACCAATATCAGTAATCTCTTCCTGCTTGGCACAATGCTAGACTATATTCCCAGCCTCTGGAAATTAAGTGGCACTAAGTGATGGAGTTCTAGCCAGTAGAATGTGGGCAGAAGTGACATAGGCCACTTTCAGGCCTAGCTCATAGAGCATAACCTTCTACTGGGAGTGCCCAGATTTTTGGCATCTCTGGGCCACACTGGAAGAAGAATTGTCTTGGACCACACATTAAATACACAAGCACTAATGAAAACTGATGAGCAACAAAAAAAGAAGTTTTTAAGTAAATTTATGATTTTGTGTTGGGTTGTATTCATAGCCATTTTGGGCCACACACAGCCACCAGGCCACAGGCTACAGGTTGGACACCTCTGTTAGTCTCCCTGTCTAGGTCCCTCTACCTCCCGATCTTCTGACTGGATGCAGAGAATCTGGTGAAGGTCTCCAAGGCCCAATGAAAGGGCAGAATCCCTAGATGAAGAAGTCTGGGTCCCTGAATGACTGCATGGAGAAGACTCCTTCACCTACCCAACCTACTTTGCTTTTACTTCCAATCGTATTTAGGCTGTAAAAAGAGTGAAGAATAAAAATAAACCTCTGTTCTGTGGAACCACTGAGATTTGGGGCTGTTACCTGTAGATAGCCTACCTACCTAATTCAAACTGAAAATCAACGGTGCTATTTGTTCATAATTCTTGGAAATAGTCCCTGTATAGGTAATTCATGGCCTTGTAAATAAGTCCCTGAGGTTAAAATTCTTTGATTTTCTGCTAGACACTACTTTTATTATTTCTTGACTCTAAATTTATTACATGCAAATTAGAGCAGCTTTAATAGTTGTTATAATTTATCATATAATTAAATTTTCACTTAATCTCATTTTTTAAAAAATGAGTAAATGCTTTTATCTTTACAATTTTACACTATTTTCAGAACTGCTGTGAGTCTCTCTATTCAACAAGTACAGCTAGAAACAACCCCAAAATCAATAAATCCAGTCGCTTAAAGTGTAAAATGAGAGAGCCGTTAGGAAATGAAATGCAATGATGCTAACTGTAGAAAGAGAAAAACTTTCAAACGTACCAATAAGCTGTCTCTTTTCTTCCTCCATTTCTTAAGAAGATTTTTGTACAGAAGGGCTTGAGTTTGTTGACACACGCTTTTCTGTTTCCTATGCATGTAGCCTGTTCATTAAATGAACAAGGAGAAAGTAAACACGGCGGAGCATAAACCAGGAAAAAGGGTGTAATGGGAAAAGCCTTGCTCATATTTGGGGGGAAAGATTTCCTACCTTAAAGAAGTGAAAAGAAAATGAATTTAAATTATTTTAATAAGTCATGATTTTAAAAGTTTACATGAAATACATGCACTGTAAGCTATTTAGTAGGTAATGGAGGGGAGGGAAAGTGACTATTATCACAGTTTACACTAACAAACTATCCAATGGAAAGAATATCATTAGATAGCAGGACCTGTAAGGTACTTCACATTTTGACCTTACATAACAGAAATTCAACTATAGGAATAGAGTATCTATATTGTATCTCATCTGATTAATAACTTCTTATTCTTTGCATTTAAATGGAAGTCCCAGAATTTACATGAAATTAACATCAAACTTCATATACTTCATTATGAAATTACTTAAATTCATCTCAATAATTATGTCCATTAACTTTAACCCTAACTCAATATTTTCTTGTGTATTTACCTTCTAAATTGACTTGAACTACTTTAATGAAAAGAATTGAGCCATGGGATAATAACCCAAAGTCAAACTACTTGAAACTTTATTTTGACACACACAAAGAATAAAACAATTTACCTCAATTTTCTGAATTCAGAAGTCCTTTAATAACTGAGGAAACAAACTACAGAGTAAGTTTCTAAAAAAAAAGAAAGAAAGAAATACATGGGAAAGTAATTTTTGGTCAAATGTTGCAAGTAAACCAACAGAGATAATTTTTTTCAGTTTTTGAAACCTCAAAATTAAATCATTTTAGATTTGCATATCAAAAAACTCAGAGAATTCTCCCTCAATGAGCACAGAAACAAATTTTACTGTTTTCCTATATACTCTTGTATCTATACAATAAATTTGGTTGGGAAAAATAGAAAAATTTCATCATTAGGTCTTCAGTATAAAACACACAAGTATTTAGAAACATCTGAAAAATAGACTGACTTTAGCAGTGTCCACCCACATATCTGGCATAGCACAACAAAACAGAGCTGTACTTACTGTCAGAAAAATCAGAAAAAGTACTCTGGAAACACTTTCAAAGCACTGTTCTTTTTTTTTTTTTATTTTGTCTAAGGCAGAGATTGAAATTTCTTTACTGTCTCCTCTTCATTTATTCTTTAAATGGGTGTCTACTCCCAACAGTTCTTAACCAGGGCTGATTGCTAAAGAGGGGCGTAGTCAGACCAAGCTGCACGTGATGAACTTGTTTTGTTTTCTGCCTTTTCTTCCCTAAACCAGTTATTCTGCAGGGAAATAACTGTTCCGTGGTTGGTTGGGAATAGAACAAACCCTGTGTTTGTGCACTTGGCCTTTCAACTCCAGGGATAAAGGGGACAATGATAAACCAGGAAAATGCAGCTAGCCCTACAGACATTGGGAATAAAGAAGGAGGGAAGAACAATAAATAAAAACAATAAGTAAGCAAAGTAGTTAAATTTGCATGAGGAATTGCTAGTTATTTTTGTTCACTCCTAATGCCTAAACAAAATTGCCAATGATATATTTGACTAATTTAGGTGAAATAGGCAGAATGTGCTGGAGCTGAACTCTTTGTTGCCTAATGAAGTGAAGCAGTCTCTAGTCTGCCTTGGGGAAACACTGAAGTTGGACAAATGAAGAACAATAAGGAAATTCCTTTTCCCCATTCTGTTCGTAGTGGATGCAAAATTTCTCAAGGCAACTGAAGAAAATAAAAATGGATTGCTAAAAGACTAAAAGGCATATTAAAAGAAAGAGATTCGGGTCATTTTTTAGGCATGATAGCCAGGCAAACAACCTGAAATTTATCCAGCGGCTTTTGCATAGTTTATCTCTCCCTGTAAAGAGTTGCAAACTTTTCTTGACCCACCAAAGTAAAGGGCAAAACAGGAAACCAAAGTCCATGAATTGGGAAATCTCAAATATTTGACATGGCTCCTCCTGGTCCACAGATGTTAATAATCATAAAACTAAGAGATGTCCTGGAGAAAAGGGGGGTAATTTTTTTAAAAATTTAAAGCCATGAAATTATGTATATACATTTCTCTCATTGGTTATTAGTTCTGTTTTTCAAAAAATAGCCAACAATGCAATACTGCATGTCTTTTACACTGAAACGTGGCAAAACCGAAGGGAATGAAGACGTGCTAAAGGTCTTGCCACGGGTGGGGGAGTAGAAGTCCATGAACACCGTTAAAGTTGTGTTATCAGTAACAGGTCAAGGGTCTGGACAAAGATTCTAAGTTTCTTTTCAATCACCTGAACTATATTTCAGGTTTTTCATTAGTTTTCTTGTTGTTACTGTTGTTTTAGAACCTATATACTCTATTTTAAAAATCATTTTCCCACTCTGCCTTTCTTACAATTACATTGAAATTCACAACTGCGATTTCAATAATTATTTAGAATAAGTATTTTACTAGGTCCACTTTTTAACATTGATTTTTTAAAATGTATTCTTTGTGTTCCTCTTTCTTGACTTATTTACTCTGATTCACCTGTATTTGGGGGGCTGCTTTTCATGTTTACACCTGAAGATTAGCCCATAAATGACTAACTTGTTAAAGATGCACCCAACTTTCATCTATGGAAATGGTGGGTAAAATATATCTAAAATAGCTGTTCAGGTAATAACCAAACTTTAGAAGAAAAAAAGAAAAAGATAGATGGAAGAGAATAAGAATCAACAAAAGGAACAAAGAGAAAGATATGTACATACCCAGGTGTTAAAAGTGAGAAGGGAAACTAAAGCTGGAACTGAGTAGTACGTCAGTAATCTGGTAGTTTAAAAAGGTGTTTTCAGATGCCTGTGACCTGAATTTGGTGCTTGATTGATTCTGAAGCTGGACTTCCTATCTCTGCTTGAATCCAGAAGCTTCACAGAACTCTTCAGCTGTAAAATAGAGACAAGAAGAACTTCACTTACTACCCCAATGAAAAGTGCAGATGCATTATTGGGTTGGCCAAAAAGTCTGTTTATTTTTTCCGTAAAATAAAAGACACTTTTCATTTTCACCTATAACTTTATTGATTTGGATATTTTGAGTATGTTATTTATCTCCTGCTATTGGGTTCTAAATATTTTCCAATGCATAAGACAGTCACACAGCAAAGAATTATTTGGCCAAAATGTCAATAGTACCAAGAAGTTTTGCAAACCACTTTTGACATGTTCGGTCAGTCATAGCACCTTTTGCATATACTGCACAGATCTTTTTTTTTGATGTATCAGTTGTGTTTTTACCTTTCTTGAAATAATAAAGCATAATACACCAAAAATGTTGCATATTTTCTTCCATCTTCAATATTAAAATAGATACACAAAAATTCACCAATTTAGATAAGTGTTTTTACATATATGCTAATAATGACAGCTGTCACACTACAATCTAACAAAGTAATTTCAAATGAAGTTAAAGACAACTAAGCATTACCAGAACGGTTGTGTAGAAAAAAAATGTAACGATGTTTTGGTCAACCCAATATTTGCCAATCTCTGGATTAAAAAATGCATACCCTCCATAGAAAACAAAAAACACAAGCATATGTAGCACATGATATCAGATACCAGGACACAGGAGCAGGGACTGAATTTATTCTCCCTGTACAGCAATGTGTTTAAGGACAACAGTGTTGCATTTAGTGCATGTGCTCTGGAGCCAAACTCTGGTATGAATTCTGCCTCTCCCATAGATGTGTGACCTTATACCATCTATTTAATTCCCCCCCTCAGTTTTTCATCCATAAAAATGGAGATAATTGCCCTGGCTCAGTTGGTTGGAGCATCATCCCATAACCAAAAGGCTGTGGGTTTGATCCTCGGTCCAGGGATGTGTGGGAGGCAACCAATTGATGCTTCTCTCTTGCATCACAGTTTCTCTCACTCCCTCTTTTCTCCCTTTCTTTCTCCCTAAAATCAATGGAAAATGTACTAAGGTAAGGACAAAAAAATGGAGATAATAACTGTATATATGTACGGTTATTTGGAGGATTAAATTTATTAATATAAGGAAAGCTCACAGAATAATGCCTGGAAAAGTATAAAAGCTCACAAAACTACCTGTTGTTACCCATAGTCTTCCTCCTCTTATTATTACTATTATCCTGGAGCCCTATGGAGAAGACAGAAAAAAATCTATAGAGGTATGTCTAGAACACAAGGCACATATATATATATTCCTCCTAGCAACTATGATCAAAAGTCCACTATGAAAGAGAATCAGCAGACCAAAATAATGGGACTATTGCCAACCTCAAGAACTTAATAATAATAAATAGTATGACAAAGACTATAAAGATATATAATTAAAGAACTAATGTAAGTAAAAACAGGAGGCAATGAAAAGGAAGACTGATAGGAGAATGATCCATTAGAATTTATAAATATTTATAAGGATTAATAAAAGTTAAATTTAAAAACTTAATGGGAAAGTTTAAAAGCAGATGAGACACATGTGAAGAGAAAGTTAATAAACCAGAAATACTTCTGATGAAATCATATAAAATTCAGTGCAAAGAGAAAATAAGATGCAAACATATTTGAGAGGTTACAACATGAAAGACAGAATGAGGGCACCCAGAACATATTTAATAGGCGTTTTTAATGAGGAAAATAAAGAGGATAAATAAGAATGTTCAAAGATAAAATGTATAAGAATTTTCCAGAACTAAAGACATGAAGCCTGAGCTCAGAAAAACATACAAATATCCAGTAGTCTTTCTATTTTAGAGTGGTCTTTCAAAACATGAGAAAGAGAGAGAGAGAGAGAGAGGAAGGAGAAAGGAAATAGGGAAATATTTAAAAACCAATAAAATAATAAAAATAGATTACCAACTAAGGCTCAACAGTTAACCAAAAGACACCATAAAACAATGCAATAATGTCCTCAAAGAGCTGAGGGAAAATTAACTATTGACCTCAAATTCTATACCCAGCTAAATGTACTTCACATTACAAACAGAGTGAAATAAAGATATCTCCTCTTCCATACCCAGGCTGAAGGAATACTAAACAATGCACTTCACATTACAAACAAAATAATTATCTAAAAGCAAACTGAACTCTGACAGAAAGAGTTGTATGTCAGAAGGATTGGATAAATGAGTTGCCAAAACTAAATATTCATTGTCGTAAGCAATAATTTTGTGGGAAAGAAAGCAGAACCATCAACTTACACATTTTTTCAGTTTGTGCTGATGGAATCTTAAGGGTTTCTGTAATTTTTGCAGAGCGTTGGTTACTGGTTAAGAAAAGAGACAAGTCGGTATGGGAGTGGAGAATGTTAGGGGTTTTCACAAGTGTACTATGTCATTGTTTTCCTCAGAGTTTGTCACGGGGCCCAATGCTATCTGAATTACTTTTTTTCTTAAATGTATTTGTCACTAGAAATCCTTCCATTCTCCTTAAAAGGCAGCCCTCTTGAGCTGGAATCTTAAAATAATGCAGGCTGGTCGGGGAGGCTTTCGACAGAGTATGTTCTCGAGTAAGGGAGAGGGAGTGATGACGGGGTCCGGGGCGCCGCTGTGGATGACAGTCTCACACAGGAACGCTGTGCCTTTTCACTAACGAGAAGAAAGTCGGAGCGTATGGGTACAGGAAAGCTGGTTGGTTGCCGGGGTTGTAGAAGCTTATGACAACATCCTCATCTAATTCTCTCCATTTCCACACTCAAGTGGGAAGCACGATCGTCTGCTGAGAGTGAGGAGAAGGACATGTTAGAGTCTGAGAAGCAAGAAGGTGGGATAAAGTTATTCGTTATCCAATTCAGTGAAAGAGTGAATCAATTAGGGGGCTGTAGTGTGTGTAGTTGGCAGGCAGAACCAAGGCTGCCCTGGAAGTCAGTGATCATTTAAGTGAGACTAGTCATTCTGCTCATGTGGATCCTCTACCAGTGTTCACCTGCACACCATATGTTTAACCAAAATTGGGGTTTTGCCAGGCAATTATGAGGAAGGGGGAGAGGGTCAAACATTCATGTTTATATAATAGAGCGACTACTGGCTGAGGTAAGCCTCTCTCTGAAAAACTGAGGACTCCTAAGTAAAGAGAGTAGATGACTCTTCTTTCTTGCCAGCACTTTTTGGTCCACTAGCTCCTGAATTATGCTTTCAAGCCAATGGCAGAGTGCCGACTCGTGTCCAGGAAGGTAGTGAACTTTGGGCTTGGC